TTTCTAGAGTGGAGAGGTTCATAGCAGTAAAGAAGATAACAAGCGAGCCTGATAACGTGTTAATTTTTTGGAGTTTGGAAGAAAGGGAGCGAGAGGAGTGGGTGAGGTTTGTGTTGGAAGGTTGATTTTGGTTATGATTTGACAACTTGAATTTGAGTTTTGGAAATAAGGTATGTAGTTAATAGTTTCAGATGTTATTGGATCTTAGTATTTTGTAGTGAACAATTTCAGATATTATTAATATAATTGAACAATTTCAAATTTTATCTGATATTAATAATGTAATTTGGTTTAATGGTAATTTTAATTTTTTTTTAAATGACAAAAAAAATCATAAAAGGTCATTTGTTGATATTTAATTCCGATTCCAAAGTTGAATTCCGTGAACCAAACAAAAAAAAATTCTAATTCCGTTAAGAATTCCATTTCAATTTCATGCAACCAAACTCAATCACATGACAAGGTCAAATTCCATCAAATTACATTTCATTCCCTCAAAGTCAAATTCCTTTGATGAATTCCAATTCCATCGAATTCCATTCTACGAACCAAACGCCCCCTTAGATTTCAGATAAAAGAAAAGAAAAAACTTCAAGTTCAAAGATTTCTTTAAAGGGGTGTTAGGGGTTGATTATAAAAATAACTTATTAACTTATTCCGATGTGACACTGGTAATAAACACTTTTTGAGTGTTTTGATAAACAATTTATACCGGTGTCAAACCGGTACTAAGAAGTTTTAAAAAAAAGTTAAATTATTCTAATTTATAATAAATTGATAAGGACTTTTATAAAAAAAACATAAGTTGTTTCAAATAAGCAATCCCTAACACCCGTAAATCTTATTTGAAAAGAAAGAAATGATCTTTTATTTATTACACCAATGATATTTACTTATTATTATATTATATAAAGTTTTTTAAAAAATGTATCAAGTAAAATAGTTATATAATATTTTAATAAATAATTAATTTTAAAAATCTTTAAAATAGAAAATCTTTTGTACTGAGATTTTGACTTTTTTTTTTTTAAATCATAAAGAATTTATTACAGATTATATTTTTATTCAACAACCACCTTATCATATATGATAATACTTGTGACTTGTGAGGGGCCCGCAACCAAGATCGCATCGAAAATTGTCTGCATCTCTGATTTAATATCACATGTGATGGGGAATAATAGTATCACATGTGATTGTCTAATGTCTATAGTAAAAGGGTGTTATCGCGTTCTCGTAAAATAAAAGTGTTCTCGTTTGAAATTTTCCTTGTGTATCTCTCTCTCTCTCTCTCTCTCTCTATATATATATATATAACCTTTTACAAAAACTTTTAAAAACCATTTTTTACTTTTGAAGAACTGTTTATTGATGCATATTACTTAAAAATCAAAATTACAAGTAAATTTTGTATAAGTACAACTTATTAAAGCTTAATGTTTGAATTCGTGTAACTAATTACATATAAACATAATCAAATAGATGATAAACATTTCATTTTAAATATAAAATGTAATTAAGATAATTATTGAATTCTAACAAAATACTTAATTATTATCTTTATAAAAAATTATATTATTAAAACAAAAAAAATGAATTAAAGAAATACACAAAAAAAAAAAAAAAAAATTTAAAGTCATTTTGGTACTAATATCAATTTTTTTTAACATCGACCGACAAAAAAAATGAAACATTAAAATCGAGATGTATCTCGCTGCATTGTGCGAGTACCCTTCTAGTATATATATATATATATATATATATATATGTATATATATAAATTATTTGTTTAAAGTGACCAAAATTACAATGTTTCTATATGAGCCCTTAATTACACGTAATTTGTGGACTAAAGTGTATCTCACAGATCTCATAAATTGTAAGGATCTCAAATGAAGACCACATATATATACACGTATAGAGGTGGTTTCATTTAAAAATATGGTCATTAGTAGAAACCATACAAATCAATATTAACCGTTTATCTATTCTAATAAATATCTGATTCGATAAATATCTCGATTAATATCGTCTGAAATTAATTTTGGGTTAGTTTATGGGCCGGCAACTGGCCCACAAGGAAGGCCCAATAGTACATGATATTTGAATTGGTTAGACACGATTTACTGAGTGCCCGACAAATAGGGGTAAAGTTCAAAAAGGACAATAAAAGAAGCAAAGGTGGTGCCATCGTCTTCCACCGTTCGTATTGTCAAAGCGGGAATTCGACAACAATGGTGATGCCTGTATTCATGGCGGTTCTTCTTCTGAAGAGCTCGTTTCCATGATAGCACCTTCACATCTCACTACAAGGTATGAAGAAGTTTACATTCAATTCAATCCATTATATTTGCAGTTGCTTTAGATCGTTTAGTTTAGAATTAGAATCAAGTTGATTCGAAGAAAATTTGCAGGAATCTGTTATAGAGAGTTAAGATGCGAGATCAATAATAAAATATTTTTTTGTTTAAATGTGCACATACAAATCGTGATTTCCAGTATCTTCTTTAGAAATCAAAGATACGATGTGATTTTTGATATGATTACCGTCCTGCGGTTTTCGTTTTTGAAATTGACGTCAGTACGGCTAGTTTAGTACATTTTTTAACAATCAATAGCGCGAATCGGAAAATGTTCGGGAATTAAAATCTGTATTTTGCAGAAGTAGCTTAAACAACAGTAACTGGTAAGGTCGTTCAGATGAGCTTCTCGTTCCTTTAGAACAATTTTTTTTCCTCTTTTTATTTGAACTGTTGTGATTGCGTTAAAGCATGTGTTTGATATGATTAGTTGATTACCGATCTGTAGTTTTGTCTTCCAATTGATGCCAGTCTTAGAATTTTATTAAATTTTGAACAATTAGTGGAACGAATGGGAACTTTTGAGAATTAGATTTGTATATATTACAAAAGTAGCTGAAAACGGCAGGCTTTTTGGAAAATTAGTTCAGACCAGCTTCTCGTTCCATTTTAACCAATATTGTTCTCCCATTTTTTTGACTAAAACTGTTGTAATAGCGTAAAAGCAGGTGTTTGGGAAAAAGTTTCTCATGTGAATGGGCCACAAAGCTTCTAAAGATGTGCCTAACAGTAGCTTTACTGCAATTCTATCTGGATTTGCAGTTCTTTGAACTAGGTTTAGTTTAAAAAACCACTGCAATTCAATATATAACAGGACATAATTTGACCAGATGTTGGAAGCTTCTTTTTGACTTTTCTTATTGTATTTCCTCAAGTTTTTTTTGGTTGAATCGGCAGTTATTCTTGTTAGTCAATGACGCTGCCAAAATTCAGTCTTCTTGAAATTGTAAAGTATTTTGAACTTTGTGACTTAGCAATTAAATTTACTTAATTCTGATTTAATTTCTCAATAATTTCTTATTTATTTGATAATTTTTTTCTTCTGGTATTTTGAACTTTTGTTCGTTATTTGGTTTACTATGGATAGCCCAATGTAACAGTGGTTTAAATCACAGGATTCCTCATCATGGTGCCCAAAGAAAGATGCGTTATTTCGCGAGAAGAAGCGGATGGCCTGAATTTTCATAAAACCGAACTTCTCAAATCAGGATCAAATGACAGGCGCAGAGAATCCTACAAAAGGCGTATTCATGAGATGGGTCCTGTTTGTAGACCCCGATTTATGACTTCCAAGGAAGAAGATGGTGAGTTTGCTGATACTTTGAGAAAGGCAGAATTGCTTGATCATGATAACTGTATGTGGTTATCTTCAGATGGTGCATCATCTCCAACATCTTGTTTTCAAGATAATGGTTTATTTGGTTCCATGGATCTTAAGATAGATGCATGGTTCATTTCTTTATTATCAACACCATCATCAAGGTCTGCTGCACTTTTAAGTACCGAAGCTACATTCTTTGACGGTTCCAGAGTGAATCCTATTGAAGAAGCATCTTTAGTTCTTGATCAAAGAAAAGCTGCAGAAGAAGATGAGGTTTTTCAGGAGAATTTGGAGGAGGAAGTGATTTCATGGCTGGTGACCTCAATTAAGAATGAGTCACAAGACACCTTCTCCACATCATCTTCTGATGAAGATGCAGAATCGTCTTACGGTCAGTCTTCTGTTAAGGATTCTACTGAACTTAACAAATTCTGTTTCTCACTCTCCAAATGGACTTCAGATAAAAGGTCAGAATCCAAGCTGGCGTATTCCCAATCTGAATTGCATACTCCTGTTACTAAAAGTTATCAACTTTCTATATCCAGTGTTTCATCGGTTACTGATAGCAGTGATGACCACTCGATATTTTCTTCATCTTCTAGCTCTGATTACTCATCAGAAGTCGTGGATTTGGAAGAAATTGGTATCGATAAACCACTCTTTTGGCCATCTGATTGGGAATCTGATTGGAGTTCTGAAACTAAATCCGATTTCTTTATTATGTCCCCTCGTAAGAACATTCACAAAGCCGGTGATTCACCAAAAAGCGTTCATCGTTCTCTAACCCCGAGAGTCCCCAATGGAGAACTGAATTCAGAAAAAAGCTGCAAAGGTAAGCTCGTATTTGGCAGACGCTCAAAATCCTCGGCTAATTTGAATCTGAAACAAACAAATGGCATCGATGACAATAAGAAATCGAGAAGCATGCCCCCACGATTGCGAAAATCCACCAAAACTAGCACGAAAAATCTTCAGCTTTCTGCATCTTCGGTTATTGATACCAGTAACAAACAGTCGCTATTTTCATCTTCCAGCTCCGATGATGCGTCAGAAGTCATGACTATTGACGACACGAGGACTAAAACACCGGTTTTTTGGCCATCCAGTTATCTATCCGAGTGGGATTCAGATACAAAATGGGATTTCTTCGTTATGTCTCCACGAAAAGACATTTACAAAGTTGGTAAATCACCAAACACCTCTCCAGACACTTTCAAACTCCGAGTTCGCAATGGAAACACAAATTCAGAAAAAAGTTGCAGCAGAAGGCTCGAGTTTAGCACCAACTCAAACGAAGTTGACACCTCGGAAATCACAAAAACCGCAGGCGTTGGCAATGAAGAGGACACCTCGGAAATCAAAATTTCGATCCGAAAACCGGCCGGTAAGCATAAAATAATATTGGAAGATCTTTTATTAGTAGAGAAATTAAGCGTACAAGGCGTCGAAGATGTATTGGGACTAAGGGAATTTGATGGGCACGAAGGCATTGAATCCAAATTCAACAAAGATGGCTTCTCAATTCTCTGTTGTTGAGATTTAAAGTGAGTCGTTTTCATGTTTATGTTACTTGTGGTGTTTTTCAGTTATGTTGTTATGTATATTTGTGAGTAAGATGGTGTTTTTCATTTAAATTTTGGTCCAAAAACATGTATTTTTTAGTTCTAGAAGAACCATGTATTGTGTGTCAATGATAATAACAGAATTTTACCATCTATATATTGTTTTCTTTTTAACAAATCTTTCCGGCCCCAAAATATGAATCATTTGATAGAAAAGGGATTGGGGTTAAGAGGTATTAAGGGATACGTTTAACACTTAAAATTTCAGAGAACATTTAGAACTTTTAAGTTCTTATTTTAAAAATGAAACAAACGCTCTTAATACCCAAACGTTTGAACGAATCAAACTTCATAAATATTAAGAGATAATTTTGATAAAACAAACATATCCTAAGAGTAAATTATGATTTTCGTCCATATGATTTAGAAATTGTGACTTTAATCATTAATTCATTATGGTTTGCAATCCATTGTTATTTTCATCAACGGATTAATTCTTATTTTTAAATAGAGGGGACCAAAATAGTAAAGAATTGTAACCTACAGGAAGTAAAACAAAAATAAATTACAAATTATAATAAACAAAAATAACAATGAATTATAATTTATAGGGATAAAAACTGTAATTTATAAATCGTAGGGATAAAAAGCACCATTTTTCAAGTCTTAGATAGATGAAAAAACGTAATCTTTATACGAAAATAAAACCTACAAATAATGAGATGATATCTTAATGAGTATTTTTAATTTCTTGAATTGTGGTTGAGTTTGTATATCCCATATTGATGGATATATAAAATATAAGTGGTAATATTTTAAATGTTCTAAAACTCTCTGAATAATTTTGTATCATATGTTTTTCTTAACCATTCAGCATCCTAATTTTATTGTAAACAATTACCAAATAATTATATTTTATTTTACACTATACCATAAAAGCTTTTTAATCATTTTGCACCAAATTATTCAACAACTATCAAACGGTCGTTACCGGAAAAAAAAAACGTAATTTACTATTAAAATAAAGATTAATATTTTAATGCGGGACCCATAGATAATCTGGTTAGGGAGGGAAAGGTGCGAATATTTAGTGGGAAACGTCGACAAAAAGCGACGGACTCCCCGTTCTACACGTTGGCTCACCGTTTCCTACCAAAAACACAATTTTCCATTTTACCCTCTCATTTTCACATATCTACCGCCATGCCAAACCCCTGAGCGCGTTGACTCCAAGGACACAACCGTCATTTAACAATTTACGTATCAAACTCTCAGGCTCACCAGTAGTCCGAAGAAGCTTCTTTGATTTTTGGTATTTTCTTTTGACTTTGAAAATATCCCCAAATTCAAAACCCTACATTTTCTCAAACCATCATTTATACTTCTCCAAATTCTTTGATTTTGATCATAATTTCTTCAACACTTCCTTCAATTCATCTTGAGTTTGCATCGGTGCCTCGTGATTCAGTTCGTTGTTGTTTGTTCTGGTATGTTAATTTCAATGATTTTGTTGGTTTTTGTTTTGAATTTTGTTTGAGTTTTTGGTATGAGGTCTAGACAGAATTATGGCTCTGATTGCCAGTTTAAGTAATCAGTAGTTGAAATTAATCGAATCTAGATAGGCGATTAGTTATGGATTTGACATGGTGTTATGGTGGCTTGATCCAAATCCAATCCAAGTTGTTTTTGTTTTTTGTTTTTTGTTTTTTGTTTTTTGTTTTAGCTTTATGAAACCTGACTTGTTTTTGTTATCTGAAATCGATCTAGTAACTTTTGTTTAGATTGTTGTTAAAGAATGCATTAAGTATAAATTTACTGGTTGGTAATGGTTGGATCGGAGTTTTGGTGGTAATTGTTGTTTATTAGCTAGTTCAAGACTTCTTTTTGTTATGCGTGCTTTGTTTCCTATTGCTTTAAAAAGTTGTGGATAAGATGCTCTGAATTAGGAGGAATAAATGATTAGCGAAGTTGGTCGAGTCTGCATGACTATGTGTGTTAACGATCGAATGTTTCATTTCTGTGGGGTAGTTTTCACACGCAAGCTCAATTTATTGAATTTGCTCTCATGTGATGGCCATAGACCACAGCTTGTCAAGGATGATTGTCTAGCCATTATTGTATTCTTTGCTTTGAGCAAGGTGGGGGATAAATATGGTAAGGATTAGTGTTGTTGGAGTGCTAAGAATGCTATCATACATCCAACATCATAATTTTCTTTGGTAATACTTCACTTGTATTTAGTTTTCTTTTTTAGTTTTAAGATTTTATTTTCCCTCCCATCTTTAGGCCTGCCCTGTATGTTTTTCTCCTCATCTAATGGTCAAACAGAAAGACCCTTGTGTATTTTTCTCTGGTGTATGTATGTTAAATTGCTCATACCTATGGCATATTCTTTTTTCACTACATGGAATGTTCTGATATTAGGTTCTGGCAATTACAGAATTTTCTTCTGAAAGAATTCATATCTTCTAGTATCTGGCTATAATGCGTGCACCATCATTGATTTCACAATGCTTGCCTGGTTTTGCACACGACCGGGTAGGTCAAAGTGTTTCTTCTGCATCTGATAGGGAGATGCATTTGTCTTCACCAGCTGTTGAAATCTTACCTTCTAAGGTATTTTCTATAATCTGAAGGAGACAACTTGGCCTTTGGGGTTAAAGTTTATCTTTTGACATAACTTCCTGTATATGAGTGCCTGTTGATGCTATTCTTATCTGTGCAGATGGAAAACCCATACACGTATGCTGGAGACAGCATAGATTTGCAAGGAGTAAATATCTTGAAGGTGCGTCATGTCCCTATCTGATCATCTGATGGTATCTACTAATTGGTCATTCACTTTATGTGATTTGATTGTTTTTTCCTTGGGCTTTCAATGGTCATGGTTGCTCTCAGGGTTGAACTCTATGGACAGCCATAGCATCACACAAAGTGCAAGGTTCTTGTATGTGTATCGATTTTTTCTTCTGGTCAATTAAACTGACTATACAATTACATATCTGTCCAGAAAGAAGAATAAGGTCACACAGATTGTTGTCGCATGTGCTCTTTGGCTTTTAACTTTGTTCAAAGATATCATACTTCAATTAATTGTTATTCTTTACCTTAGAGCTTCATATCTTGGAGTTCGGTAGTACATCTGTACTTTTTTGTCCGAAGTTTTATCTAGTAGGCAATGCAATATAATCATCTAACTAGTTTATGGTTTAGACTCGTTATTGTGATTGGGAGTTAGCTTGAATATGGTTTGATGCATTTGTATACTAAACATTTCTGGTGGATTCATTGACCATTGTGGGTTGTGCATCACACAACCTTGCCTATGTCGTAAACTCCAACATTTAGAACATTTGATTTAATAGGTCTCCTTGTATCTATTGCAGGGAAGATTCAGCGTCTCAGATTTGATAGGTTCAGAACTGATGCCATCGAAAGCTGATGGTAAGCTTAATCTTGCAATACTCTTAAATGCTAAAAATGTGCTCGATTCTGCATCAGTGCAGTGTCTAACAGTTGTTGATGTTTGGAAGTGAATGGTCATAGTATATATGTGTGTGTGTATGACATCATCGATTTTATTAGAACTAGAATTGATAATTGTGCAGGATCTCTCAAATCATGGGATAGCTCATTTGATCTCGTGAACCTCCTTAAGCATGAGATTCGCGATGGACAACTAAGTTTTAGAGGCAAAAGAGTGCTTGAGGTATTCTTGGTTTGTACTTAAAATGCATTTTGTGGTTTGATTTTGCACTTTATACGTGTATGGCATGTTTATGTGGCATTAGTATTGAATGTTGAATACACTCAATAATATAGAGCAGATGGTTCTAGTTCTTTTAGATCAGATCAAAGCTACCCTATACCGTAAAAAATTAACATTCTGATTACCCTGTGATATTGAGGCCTTTGCACAAGCTATTCCTGAATGCTACTCTGCATATGGAAATTCAGTATCTTTTATTTATTTATTTATGTTTTTCCAGCTTAGCTGCGGCTATGGGCTTCCGGGGATCTTTGCTTGTCTGAAGGTACATCAGTCATGCTTTTATATTTTTCAATTCCTTATTTTTCTTAGCTACTTGCATTTATTCTTACAAGGACGTGAATGGTAAATTTGTATACATTTAGTCATTTAAGTTTGAAGTTGTGCCTCGTTACTGTGAAATTTTTAGGTTAACCTGCTTATAAGAGCTTAGGGTTACACATATTGTCCCTGATTCTTTTTACCCACTTAGGAACTAAATTCTGAATCAAGTATAATCCCCCCCCCCTGCGGGTACTGGTGATTCACCCTACCAGCACCCTTCCCCCCTCTTCTGCACATGCCCCCTTTCTCAGCGCACTTCCCCTCCCCCTTGCACTGCTGTCCTGCCACTCCATCTGCACCGGCACCCTTCCCCTTTCCCCTAAACAGCCATAAAACACCTGCCACCATCCTCTTCACCTGCAAAATTTCATCTTTTCCCCAGTTAGACTCCCACGACCCCGACCTCCTCGTTGACGGCGGCAATGGTTGCTGATCCGCCACAGACAAAAGAAAAACAGTCCTGTTTGGATGAATCACCGCAGAAATTTCAAACTTTATTGACTAAATGTGTACAAAAAAGATTTTAGTGACCAAATTGAAATATATGTAAAACTTGGTTGCTATTTAATGATATTAGCCCTGAAACTTGTTATCCACCTGAGCAACCTCTCATCAATTACACCGGTTACAAGTCAGAAAATTTACAACATTGTGACACATTCGGACATTAGTGATTAAATGTGTATAAGAAAAGAGTTCAGTGACCAAAATTAAAACTTTGTGACACTTGGTTGTTATATAATGGTATTAGTTCGCAGAAAAACACAAAAGATGGACGAGTTCTTAAACATATTATGATCTTCAATGAGAAACGCCTGTTAAGCTATGATATGATATGAGAGTTCTAATTTTAAGCTCGTTCTATTCCACATCACAGGGAGCTTCAGTAGTTCACTTTCAAGATTTAAATGCTGAAAATGTAAGACGCACAACTATCCCGAATGTCCTGGCCAATCTTCAGCAGGCTCGGGACAGAGAGAGTCGACAGCCTGAAAGTTCCCTTACTCCTTCAAGGCAAACTATTTCTCCTATGGTTCACTTTTACGCTGGAGAGTGGGAAGAACTTGCTACTGTCTTATCTGTTGTAGAGAATGATTTAGAATTGCCAAAAGCAACGAACCTCAGTTTCTCTGAGGAAGATTTCATGGATGGATGTAGTAGTCAAGATGGTAGCATCATCGGACAAGAAACCTCCTCCAGACGATCAAGGAAACTTTCCGGAAGCAGGGTGTGGGAGAGGGCTAGTGAATCAGATCAAGTTGAAGGAGGATATGACGTTATTCTGATGACCGATATTCCATATTCAGCAACGTCCTTAAAAAAGCTGTATGCTTTAATTAAAAAGGTTAGTTGTTCTTTGCCTATGAAATTGGAAACTGCACTATGTAGTTCGTATGTTTGGTGCTCTATTCTTTAAGGGTAGAGGCCAGGTTTGCATACATCTGCCCCCCCCCCCTCGGAACCCCACTTCCGGGTGTGATATACTGGGCTCGTTTGGTGTGGTTAGTTAGTCCATATGTTATGTTTCTCTGAATCATTCTTCGTGTCACATCTTTAACGGTTTTTGTGATCATACATTTCAATTGGTAGATGGGGTTTTCTCTTCTATTGTTGCTAGTGATATAGGAGCAGGTTCAAATAAGAATTATAAATATTTTGGGAACATGAGAACCAACTATTCATGCATTATTCTGGATGGAAATTGTGATAGAAATTCATGATGAAAATTATTCATAAATAAAATACACGATATTCATGATGAAAATGCATGGTATCAATGATTATTCAGGGTTATTCGTTTTAAATAATACATGAAATAGTTGGTTTCGAGGTTCTTAAAGTATTTATGGTTCAATTCGAACTTCTCCTTAGTGATATAGGCTTCTAAGACCCTGTTTGTAGCTTAATGGGACTTGCAGCTTATTTAGTCAGCTATACATGACTTTTTGGTAGTGGCTTAATGATATAGAAAGTGGCTTATTCAGTAAGCTTCTAAGGAGGAGCTTTATGCAGAATGGCAAGTTTTTTTTTTCTTCCAAACCTGCCTATCCCATTAAAAAAACACGCTTCTTTCATCTATGAAAAAACGTCTCCCAAACAAAAACTTTTCCAATCTATACAGACAAATTAATCCACACAAACAACTTCATCCATACAGGACTTGATGGAAAACCATATTTGTTGGGTCTTGATTTTTTTTTCCTGTTATCTTCTTCATCAGTGCTTGAAGCCTCCTTACGGAGTCTTGTTCGTTGCCACAAAAAAACATTATGTCGGGTTCAACAGTGCTGCAAAACAACTGAGGAGCTTGGTAGACGAGGAGGGCGTATTCGGGACCCATTTAATTAAAGAAATGACGGACCGAGAATTCTGGAAATTCTTCCACAAATGAAAAAAATACGACCTCCAAAATGTCGACAGAAATCACGAGTAATAATATTATTACTAATTATATCAGCCTTAACCCCTTCGGTATATCTGCATACGTAGGGCATTTTGCTTGTACGATTGATTACAGTGACAGATATACGACGCTACGCTGCTAACTACGGTTCGTTGTTGAACAATACACCCCTCAGATTCTCAGGTATTATTTAAGATTTAATATTCATTTATTAAGCTGTATATGTGAAGAAGACCTTAGTGATTCTATAGTTGTTTTTTTGTGTTCATTTATTCAAAGGTTTGTGTATGTTATAATAATATGAATTTGATATTGGGTTGTTGAACCTTGTTGTGAGGCTTTTCATTGCATTGTTTAGGGAATTTTTGACCGAAATAGTCGATCATCAATCAAATTCACTTTTTAGCCACTTTTCAGAGTCTCGTTTCTAAATTAGCCGGTCTTTATGCAGATGTTTTATGCATTTGCATAAAGACTGATATTTGGAAAAAAGAAAAGAAGGAAAAAGAATCCTTTACTCATATGTGCAAAGATTCTTATGCAAAAATTTGAATCCTTACGCGAAACCCAACCCTTAACGGGTTATAACAACCCGACTCTTAACGGGTTATAACCCATTAAGAAACCGGCCCTTAACTTTTAACTGGTATGTTTTGTATAAGTTTTGATTTGATACTCTTGACCACCAGATGGTGCTTTTTTCAAAACGAACAAGTGTAACTGGTCAACCGAGAAATCATGACAAATAGGCGGCTGATTATAATAAGTCCCTTTTCAACCGATCGAAATGTATCTAGGCCTTAATCAGTACGATCAAAATGTAAAATTTTATATTTTACAAAATTTGGAATTTGGTTCACAAAATATGGGGGTGTTTGGGATTACTTATTGACTTATTCTGGTGTGACATTGGTAATAAGCATTTTTGAGTGTTTAGATAAACAACATATACCGGTGCCAAATCGGTAATAAGGAGTTTTTAAAAAAATTAAACTCTTCTGACTTATTATAAGTTGATAAGTGTTTTTATAGAAAAATATAAGCTGTTTCAAATAAGCAATCCCAAACACCCATATTTTGTAACAAGTGAGGGTATCTTGCACTAAAAAAATTAGAGTGAGTTGATGTTTTTTTTATATAATTTCATATTTTTTGATATAGTATGCATATGTATATACAAGTAATTTATCGGTAATTTTTCCGGTATTGCACATGTGCATAGAAAACAGGAAACTTTTTCGCTTACTTATATGCACATGTGCATATCGTACAGATAAACTATTAATTGAGTGTTTTTCAGCTTTTCATTTTTTGAGGGTTTTTCTTTGATTTGAATCTCACTCTAATATGTTTTTAATGTAAATATTCATCCATAGGGACGACCCGTGAAATTTTTTATACGGTAGCACTATATAATATAGACAAAAAATAATTACAAAAAACACGGTTTTTATCGACGTGTTTTCATGTTGTTATTAATGTTCAGGATCATTCGATGCGTTTTTAGATTAATTCTACTATTTCGATGAATTTTTAATGTTTTTTGCTTAATTTTGAGGAATTTTTTAGTTTTTTTTATCAAGTTCAAGGGATTTTTTTGGTTTTTTTGGTTGATTTCAAGAGTTCTTTTTGGTTGATTAAAAGGTATGCTTGCACCTTCTCGAATTTTTGAATATCATACGTTGGCATCTTCTAAAACAATATGATTGCACATTTCATAAACATAAAATATTAATCGATGGCAAGTGCCACCATATGCCCTTCTACGGGTCCGTCCATGTTCATCCACATTCTTCAAACTTTATAGTAAGTTTTGAACCTTTTAACCTGTTAAAAAGTTGGACACTACTGATAATTTTGGGTCAATGGCCTTTTGGTTTATTTATTCATCACATATTTTCATTATGATGGATCTATGGGTTTTTTTTCCGAAGCAATAGATCAGTGGTTTTACTTTGCAAGATATTTTTGAAGTATATAATATTTATATACAATAAATGTAACAAATAAACTCACACACTCTCCTTACTTTTGATGAAGTTTAAACCCTTGACTTTTTAGAAGACCAGAGACTATGATACCGTTAGGTCAAAAGACCCTTTGGTTTTATACGATGTTTTTTCACTAAGAATTAGAACAATAACATAATTACATCGTTTTTCACTAAATGTTAGAAACAACATCACTTCTTTCACTAATAATTACAACAATAAGACTATTTACGAATAAACTTTAGCGAAAACGATGAAATTTAAGTTGGATATTATTTCGATTCAGCTCGAGAAGGGAAAAATGAAAACGAACCTATAGTGGGAAAATTCGTCCAAGATAAAATATATTGGTTTACGTCTCCAACGTATTCTTCAAAATCAAAATGGAAATTTTGAGGATTTTAATCAAATCCTCTGTGCTCCTAGGAGCATCTCCAACAAATTCTTTAAAACCTTAGATATTTTTTTATTTGTTATAATTAATTGTTTGTTGGCCCCATCAGTCAAATAAAATAGATCCCCAAAGCATTTCGTCGCTTACTACGCCCTTTCTCGTCTCTGGGCGCCTAGGCATCCACCGTAAGCCTTTCCTCGTTTGAACCTCGCGCTTCTTTAAAATAGAGAAATTAGGAGAGATGATGAGAATCTCTAAAAATGATTACTTAAGAGCATCTCCAATAGCTTCTCCAAAATTTCTTTAAAATTGAGAACCTAAAGTCAAAATCTCCAAAAAATATTATAGTGATACGGTTTTGGAGATTTTGCCATCAGGGTCTCAATTTTGAAGAAGCTATTGGAGATGCTCTTAAAGTAATCATTTTTAGAGATTTTGACTTTTAATTCTCCATTTTATCGAAGATGCTCTATGAAAACAAAAGAGAGTCGGGTTATCAGATATCGCTGTACCAAAGACCCTTTGATTTCTCAACATCTGATTTGCAGACCTCACCTCCATACTTTGTACCATCAATTTCTTGCTTCAAACTCAAAAACTAAAGAAACAAAAACATAAATGCCCATTGGATGGACCATGGTTCCTTCCATTCATGAAATTGTTTTGAACCAGGTTACCAAAAGGCCAGATAAAAAAAACTTCTTGTCCCATATTTCGCTAACAGCGAAATCTGGGACAACAGATTTTAATCCTGCAGACTCAAAGACTCGTCAAATCAAACGAGTCTTTGAAACTACCAAAAAGAGTGAAGAGAGAAACATATTTCCAAAGATGACTGCTATACATTTTCTTACCAAAGTTTTACATAACACACAGGTCTCAATTTATCATATACTCCATCAACCATACCAAAACTAGAAACAAAAAGAAAAGAAAGCAAACCAAAACTCACCTTATTCGGTACCGACCTCCGACTACTACACAAACGAATCGAGGTACCCGTACTTATGTCGTTTGTTGTACTGTAACAAACTTGCATAAGTTCGGTCCCATACTCCAATGAAAAGGGTCTCATTGTCTGGACTCAGAGATACCCCCGAGATTTCTCCAAAGAAATCAATCTCTTGTCTTTTCTCGTAGTTTAAGTTGGTGTCATACACGTGCACGAAATCCGCAGGTTCAGCAACGACCAAGAACTGCCCGTCTGACGAGAAACGAACCGAACGAACTGCCCCCATGTTTCCCTTGAGAACTGCAACAGGGTTCGAGAGGTTTCTTAAATCCCATACCCTGCAGGTTTTGTCTTGGTTCCCTGTTGCAAATATCCTTCCATCTGGATGCCATGCCGAAGCAAATGAGTAGTCAAGGTGACCTTCCACCGAAGCCACCGTCTGGAAACACGTTGCATTATCAAGATTTGACAATTTTCGTTTCCGTAAAATCATAAATCAAATCAAACAAACCAAACAAGCCGTATGGGGTAGGATGTATCCCTATTCCAAATTTGGGTGCGTTTGGTACACTGGACAGGACATAAGAGGGATCATTGTTCCATGTTTGGCAAGACATTTATGTGGAATGGAACGGACAGGAACATAGTGGAACAGACATGTTCCACGTCAACTCCATGGAACAAGGTGGAATAGACCTATAATTTACCAATATAAATTTAAATTCTCTTCTAAAACATCAAATACGTCTCCCTCCTTATATTTTATTCATTCTTTAAATTTTATTTATTGTATTTCATAATCTTCAAACTTTCACTTTACTGTCCTCAAAACTATTTTACAGTTTCTATATTTTGATGAAATTATGCAAGTTATTAAAATTAATAAATAAAAAAATAATACAGAAAAGGGATATTGCAAACTAGATGAACTTTTTATTTTGATGTCATTTTAATTTATTTTGTCGAAACCTTTCTAATGATATATTTTGTTATAACAAATATTTATTTTTATATAATTTAATACATTACATACATTAATTAAAATATATATACAACTCAGGAGTAAATTGGTCATTTTATTTGTTTTGTCTTGTCCAGTTTTGTCTTATCAAACGCTGATCAACGGTTGTCCTGTCCTGCCCAAAGAGAGCGGTTGTTTCCTTTAAAAGTGTGTGAAGTTGAAATCCCCACGTCGTGATCTTGACGATAACACTCGATAAACAGTCAATTAAGAATAACAAAATAAGAAAGGTAACGATGTCTTACTTTCCCATTAGACGAGTCAACGACAAGTCCGTCAAGATGATCTCCAACAACAGTTATAAGCTTGCGGTCTGGGCTTAAAGATGAATGCTGCATCGATAAAAATAAAACTTTAGCATCTGAAATTAAAGAATTCAAATGAAATCTAGCTCAAACTGAATCGATATGAAGTCTTCAATTATGCGTGATTTCTAGGGAATGTCCCAAGAATTCCATGTAATGCCCAAATAACCGGTGAAGATTGAACAAAAACTTGTTATCCCATTTGGTGGGATAATGAAGAGCCTACTTGTTAGCAGCTTAATGAGCTTAATAGAACTCGCACCTTATTTGGTCAGCTATACATGATTGTTTGGTAGTGGCTTAATGATATAAAAAGTAGCTTATTCAGTAAGTTTCTAACGTGAACTTTATGTAGAAAGCCAAGTTTTTTCTAAACCTATGCCTCCCAATTAAAAAACACGCTCCTTCCATCTATGAGAAAACCCTCCCACACAAAAACCTTCTTAATCTATACAAACACATTAATCCACAATTCTTTCATCCGCTTACTTCACTCTTGTTCGTCAAGTCCTGTCAGCATACCAATTACCAAACACACCTTCAGGATGCATTTGGTACATTGTAGATTGTACAAGACAAAACAGAATAGATCATTGTTCCATGTTTGGCAGGACTTTTATGTGGAACAGACAGGAACAGAGTGAAGCAGGCATCCCCGTGGAACAAGGTGGAAGAGACCTATATTTTACCAATATAACCTCAAAATAAAACCTAATTCTCTTCTAAAACATCAAATATTTCTCCCTCTTTACACTTTATTCATTCTTATAACTTTATTTATTGGATTTTATGCTTTCTAAACTCATTTTACTATCCTCGAAATATTACTTTTATACAGTTTCTATTTTTGATTAATGATGTAATTTATTAAATATTAAAAATAAAAAAATAATAAAAAAAGGGTATAAAATAAAAATTCGAAACTACATAAACTTTTTATTTTCTCGTCATTTTAATCGTCTTGACAAACACTTACTAATGATACATTTTCTTATAGAAAATATTTATTTTTTATAATTTAATAAATTATATAAATTAATCAAAATATATAAACAATTCACTGGGTGTAATTGATCATTTTATGTGTTCTAACCTACCCATTTTTGTCTTACCAGACGATGAACATTTGTTGTGTCATGTTTTGTCCTATCCTGTTTGGATATCAAATGCAATCTAGCATGCCACACATAAAAGAATGCTAGAAAACAAAGGTCTCAACACTTTGAGGTTCGTAAGAAACTCACATTCACTGGCCAAGGAAAGCGGAAGTGATTCATTAGCTGAAATTTCTCCATATCATATTCTCTCACACCGCCATCATTATTTGATGCCATAAAATGCTTTCCACCACTGCAAGCAACGGTGATCAGCATGTTTAAAGAAACATCTTAAGGTAAACTAATGCCTCTTAAGTTGTAATTACCTCAAGCTGTCATATATCTCAACGGCATTTGTTATGGCATTGTCATCATAAGTTGTTCTTGTACAGAAACTTACTCCCTGTTTATCCAATCGCTGCATCATTTAATCACAAAAACGAACATATTAGAGACAAGAATGCATCTTGCAAACCAACAAAATGTACAAACATTTACTGATGATGTTGTCACGGAAGTGAACATATTAGAGACGAGAATGGATGTTATAAATCAACAAAATTTACAAACAATTACTGATGATAGCATGCGTATAAAAACGGGGAGATACAGGTTGGCAGCAATCTGTAATAGAAAAAAGAAAAATCTCCACAAAAGTGCATCCCTTTGAGTAATTCTCACCTTTCCATTGCCATGTGACATTTATTATTAAAATTACAGAACTACCCAACCTTCCCTTATATGAAGGGCATACTTGAAAAGGGTATATTTGTAAAAATGACATCTTTCCTTTCCTTTCTCTGAACATGATTTTTTTTCTTTATTTTCCTTCCCCTTCGAGAACACAAATAAAAAAATTATTTTCCCTCCCTTTCTTTACTTTTCTTTTCTCTTCTCCCCAAATTTGAGAACACAGCATTAAAGTTATAGTTTCTCAGATCCATCTAAAATATTTATTCTCTGGGATTGTTTTGTTTAACAAACGGTGTTCTTGCACATGGGAATGATGGAAATAAATATTACCAAGAACAGTTCATGTTGCAAGAAGGCAACATATGTTCCTTAAGCTGAGTACAAGCAGGCACCAATTGAAAATCCTAAAGTATTATCAACAATGACTTAGGGCCTGTTTGTTAGCAACTTAATGAGCTTAATGGGACTCGCAGCGTATTTGGTCAGCTATACATGACTGTTTGGTAGTGGCTTAATGATATAGATAGTGGCTTATGCAGTAAGCTTCTAGGGGGAGCTTTATGTAGAAATCCAAGTTTTTTCAAACCTGCCCTTCCCAATTAAAAAACATGCTCATTCCATCTATAGGAAAACCCTCCCAAACAAAACCTTCCCAATCTATACAAACATACTAATCCACACATAAAGCTTTATCTATACAGGACTTGATGGAAAACCAACCAAACAACCCCTAAGAATCATTCCATTTGGGATTGTTAGCTTTATTAGGAGTGTGATTGAATAGATTCAAAAAGTAGTCGATCTTTCCTTCTTTTTAGTTTCCTCTTCCCCTGCTAGATTAGGTTTATATTTCTGTGAGCTCAGAGAGCTTAACACATGCAGATTCAATGAAGTCCTTTACCTCTCTATTTCCTTCAGAAAAGCACTCCATATCAAGCCAGTTTGAACATTTAACACCAGTGCAAAAACCACAAGACGGGATAATTTGCATGACAAATAGCCCAAGTGCTATACAACTGGTTTAGAGTAATGCTAGTAGACTCATCAGATCTTTAATTTTGAAATGATGATTGATCCACATTTGATAGGTTAAAGTTTCAAATGTATAGGTTAAGGTTATAGACTGAGTGAATGGGAGATCATTGCATAGAACCCATTTACCAAGAAAAACAAGACTTGGCATCACATACGCAATTGGTTACAGATATGATGGGATTGCTAAAGAAGAATTGTCGAGAAAATAGCATTACTTCCTCTTGAAGTCAACACTACCCAATCTAGGGCAATGTTTCTGCCAAAGGAAATATATCGCTGAGAACAGGTTGCCACTATGATGTCGTGTGTGAAAGTAACAAGGGGTGCTAATAATGAGAGAATGGAAGAAAAGTGGGGAGAACGGATCACCTTGAGAGGGATTTAAAGGAAGGTGCAATTAGGAAAGCAAGCAACATAAACAAAATGGTATGCTGTAATTCTGTCCATGTCCCTTATGGTACTTTCATTCTCTTTCTTGCTCCCTCTCCTAATTGTGGGTTTGTCGACTGGAATTCTGATTTACTGGCAAAGAGGCGAACAAAGACTCTACTGAGACAAAGATGGGCTGTCAAGAATCCAACTTTTGATTCACTCATGGGATCCGGGCGGTGGCTCATAACTATTTGCAAATGTTCTACTATTGGCATCTGGCAGATCTGTCAAAGAATCTAACTCTAGAACACCTAATATCACCACATTTTACCGAGTTATTTCTAGCAATTCATATACCAATGGAAACAACTGATAACATCTGGAAATTGGACGGACATATGCTTACAATCACTGGAGATGTGCAGTGATGACAACGGCACAGGAGCGTCTCTAATAAAGATGGACAAAGGTCAAGGTTTTTTAGACCATAAATGCTGTCTACGGTACTAATAATGCCATAGTGACTTACAAATATTATGAACATACGTACAGATTCTACATGAGAAATTATTGAGAGCAGGTCATGCTGGGCAGCTGTCCAGCATGTGTCTGTGTGTGATTGTGAGATATTTCCGCCCACAAACAGAACTGTTGTCAAGCAGAGAATGCTCATCCATTCCTCATGTTACAAACACCAGTTATCTTAGCAAAGACTGAGTGCATAATCCATCATTGTGCTGTCTAATAAAGGGATTAAAAAAATCTAGATGGCACCCCTAAATCAGTATCAGATATGATACTAATTAGCTAAAAAGTAACACACAGTTATGCAGATCAAGGCTCAAGGTTCGATATTTGAAGGTCTTATTGTGGTTAAATCTTTATTAAATCACCCAGCCAAAGGAACTTCAAAAAGAAACTGAAAAGATGAACCAAGAATTGTTTTCTATCACTGAAATACCTTACAAGCAAGCTCTCCTTGAAAGCCTCCAGCAACTAAAAAATCATCCTTGACTGCTAGTGTACTGATCTGAGTCTGTGTAAAACCTTCAAGCAAACTCCCAGCATGTTTCTAGATATCAAGACAATAATATTAAAATGAATTATGACGAATTCATATCTGAGAAAGCAAATAAAACAACAGAGACAAAGCTATGCCAAAGAAGTATGGCATCACCATTCACCGACTTCTTCTGTAGCAACTAAAATGTCATAATTAGCAGAAATTACCTCAGTTGGTGCTACATGCCCAGAGAAGTTAAGGATCTCGGTCAAGTTGTATGATAATGATGACCAGTGCATGATTGAGTAGTTAGACATGAGATACACATCATGTTTCGAAGTAGCCCATACCAGGTTCCTTAACTGTAAAAAATATGTGTGATCATTAAACTCCTATATAGACTATGCCAAAATTGTTACTGAGCCAAACAGCAAAGAAAGAAACATGATTTAATCCCAAATAAAATAAAAAGGTACTGGGCTTAGTGGGCTATACCTGAAAGTGAAGAATGGTAGGCTTCACCAATCTGGTATTGTGAAAAAATTCATAGTAGTTGCCACCCTTCTGCTTCTGTTTACATTTCTAGACATACCCAAAAAGGTTTCCATGATAAAAAGGAGAGCCGATGACATACAAGGGAAATGCAAATTGTTAAAGTTTTACCTTATCAACAGCATCGCCTGATAAGGGAATATTCTCGTAGTTTCTGTACTGCTCCAGCCTTGTAAGTCGGTAACTTTCTCTTGTTATATTCAATCTTTCCCACGGAATGCCCTGAATATCTTTACCTCTCCTCGCTTGAGCCGAGGACGTATCTGTCACCTATGTAAGCTACTAAAGTTAATTTCTTTCTAAAGTGCACATTAAATGCTTGAATAATTCAACATTACCATGTAAGTCCCACAAAGTTTAACTAACCATATCATAATCATCAACAATTTGATCTCCACCACCGTTGACCTCCTCATCATCCATCACAAAATCCAAAATGTCCCCTTCTTCTGCCATGTAATCGATTTCGTCAACATCATTATGAGGCATCCTGTAATCCCTGCACTAAAGAAAACACATTCTTTAGTAAATGCTTTAACTTTTGACTTTCTCTCTTCCTCAAACAATCTAACTACATGGTTTACAAAGAAGAAGGATGCAGTTAGCTTCTCTTCCAACAGAATCAACAAATAAAACCACATCGTTAATTTAATTGAAACACGTAGCAAGTGGATATGCTAACTTCTTCCAACTAAACTCAGAATCCCTCACAAACAAGCATGGCTTAGGACAAACAATCTATAACAAAAGAAAACAGACAAACAAACAAACAAACATGGATCAAATTTGTAAAGGGATGTAAAAGATCAACAAAGTAGGTCACCATACGATCATAGGTCAAAAACAAGTACAAGAGTTCAAGATACCCAAAACTCTATAGACTACAGACTAATTTGATCGAATGTTTTTGATATGGCTATAAAAAGGTAATTAGCAACTACATTAATCCATGACAAGAAATCACAATAAACATCCAAAAGCACAATCCTAAATACTTYGATTTTGAAGCCTGCTAGATTGGAGAGGCTTCGCTAGTTGTGAATTAAGTAGTGAAAACAACTCAAACGATAACGACAGAGAAAACCCTAGTTAGAAATCGCTGAAATTTCAATAATACACAAGTGGGAATCGAAATTGGAAAGAAAGGGAAGGGATTCGCAACCGTACATATGTATCTAGAAGATAAGAAAGGAAAGAGAAACCGTCGTTGTTCTTCGTTGTGTTGTTTTGGCAGCAGATTCAGAGGGGATGGAGTTGAATCTTTTATCTGCAAAAACTTGAAGAAATTAGGGAAAAGAAAGATCAATCTGGTGATCTAGACTGATAATCTGTGAAGGGATGGATAGATTACAATGACTCTCTCTCTCTCTAAAATCAAAGGTGGATCTTTGAAGGGTTTTCCTTTATTCTAGTCTGTGTCGTGGATGAATTATTATTATAAAACTGCAAATGAAGTGGGATGGGATTCTCATCTTCATCCAAAGACGGCCTTTTGGGCTCTCGCGAACATGATTTAACACGTTACTCGCTCCCACCCTTATTCTTACTTTTATTTTTCTCTATTGCCCTTCTTTGTTTTTTTTCGTTTTCAGTTCTTAATTATCGTTTATGTCTGATTTTTTGAGACGTTTTATAATTTAAATTGTTTTTTTAATATTATTTTTAGAGTCTTTTATCACTTAACAGAGTCTAAATAAACAAGAGGTAAACTAATATTTTAATTCTTCTTATTTTCATTTTTCTTATTCTCTTTGGTTATTGTTTCTCTCTCCACAAGGGACGTCACCGTCCTTTCTTCACCCATGTGGAATGCATGCTTTCACCTTCTCTCTCTCTCTACATATATATATATATATATATATATATATATATAATTTCTTTATGTATATGTTAGCTTATAAGATTAATGTGAAACAATAACTTATATCGGCGATCTATCATCTATAAACAAATATCGATCTTTTCTTAGACAAACTCACCGGTGGCATTCTCGATAGCATTGGAAGTCTGTAAGGTATCCAAAAGATTCTTACTGTGTTCCATCTGTTAAGCAATTGTTGAGATGAATTTCGGCAATGGAAATTGTATGAAAGTCAAGAGAATTTTGCAAATTGTTTGCACTTGATTTTACAAAAATAAAATATTGATTCAGACTTAAGACGTTTGTCAATTTACAAAAAAAAAGTCTTATTGATTCAGATTTCAGACTTTAGCACCACCTCTTATTAATCAGAAGTAAAATAAGACTTCAGCACTTATTAAGAAGACAAACGTCACCTATTGTTATTTACTTATAACTTATTCATCATCTTGTAGTATCATTTAATCATAATTTGTATTTAAAATCTTATATATATATATATATATATTAGTTATGTTTGGTATCAATTTCTTTCGGTATATATGGTATAAGTAGACTTATTATATGAGATTGGACATGACAGAACACGGTAGAATTGGAAAGGACTGTACAACAATAATGTTTGGTACAACTAGAACTAGACATGAGAAAAGTGGACAATTTACCCTCAAAAGTAATTTGATGATTTTATTTATTATACAATGGTTATAATTAACATAAATAAAGTAATGAGTAACTGATTTAAACTATAAATATTTTTATACGATTTCCATTTATATACATATATAATGGTACCAAATTTGAATGAAAATTTTGATATAGTTGACGATAGTTCGAAAAAAACCTGATTTGTACAAAGAAAAAATTGTGTTTTATTCGGTTTGGAAAAAATTTATCAATTTGGCGAAGGCGCGATGAAGATTGTTGCAACAACATTGGTTGTGAAGGTAGGGGCATTGGTGATTGGTGGACAATGGTGGCGGTAGAGGACGTGAAGATGGTGGATAGTGGTGGTGGCTAATAACAGTAGTGGTCGGTGACCGACGGTGGTTGTGGAGATGGAGGAGGAGGTTGTTGTATTGGAAGATGATGTGGAGGTGGTGGTGATGCGATGGACGATGGTTGTGGAGGTGGTAAGAGGATAAGGTGGAGGTGGGCAACGTGGTAGTGGTGGTCGGTGGTTGTGGATGTGGTGGCTAGCGGTCCATGGTGGTTTGTGGAGGTTGTTATAGTGGAAGAGGAGGTGGAGGTGGCCGGCGGTGGCTATTAGTGGTCGCCGGTGGTGGTGATGGACTTGACTAGTGACGTTAACCACTAAAACAAATTTCATATTAAGGTCATCTATTAACATGTTAAATCTTGGTTTTTAAACAAAACCCTCTAATTTTGGGGTCCAATTTTACCTGCCTTTGCATCCCAGATTTCTATAACCCAACATGTGAACCCACCTTAATGAAGACCCATCGAAACGAGTGAGTTTCATGGGATGTCCACAAACCAAAATAAGAATTTTTATTGTATTGCTAATTAATTTAGTTAATAAAGAATTAGAAAGGTACTTAAGTCAGTATCATGATTTATGATACTACTGTGGTACATGACTTTTAATAAGTACCAGTTATACGTAATACGGTATTACCAACCGACTTAAATTTATATGGTTGATACACATGTTGGTCAGTTTAATTTGGTTCAAGTTTACATCTCAACTCTAACCAGCAGTGTATTCATCCAATCCAACATGATCGAATTTGATTTTCAAACTAAAAACCCTATCGGTTATGATTTATGTTCTGTCTTATTCTCCATCCCTATGTGTTTATATTGATAGGTTACCAGTTTTATGGATAAGTCACTTTTAAGTGATGTAAGCGTTTACCTCATTTTGAACAAATAATTGATTGTTTTTGTAATGCTTATATCATGATTTTATAACGGCACATTTTTTTGCCTATATAAGGAAGATTTTCACCTTATTTGTAATAATTCATTGGAAATAAATAAAAACTTATTTCATATGTCCTCTACTGTTCTTAAGTTAGTTCTTAAAAATATTCGTAAGTTTAAGTTCATATTTTTCACACATTCTTATCACCAATCTCAGTCTTTATTATATTTTTTTATAAACAAACATGATATATTTTAGAGGAAAGATTTTTTAAGAATCCATGAAATTGTGATAAATCTTGATAATGAATGCATCATGTATTATTTCATATGATTCTTTTCTATCTACAGTTAAAATATAATGCAATGATTAACATATATTTGTTTCACAACGTGATTATTTCACATATACTCAGTTCACAATATGAACTTTTTTGGTTTGTTTGTGAAACAAAAAGTACTTGTAAGTAAGTTTCACAATATGAAACAAACACATTTGCAAAACAAATATATGTTAATTAATACATTAAATACTACATTTAGATGAAATAAATCATATGAAACATAACCTCAAGGTAAAAGTTCTCATGGATCTCACAAAATTTGGAGTTCTTAAATCATTAAACCCATTTTAGAGTAAACTACAAGGTATGTCAAACATGACATTTTTCATCTCTAAAATTTTAAAAATTACAAGACAGCCATCACTTTTTACAAAAATGTTTGAATTTGGTCCCTCCCTCTAACGTCCGTTAAAAATTTCCATTAAAAGAAAGGTATTTCCATTTTTTTATCTATTTCTTTTGTTATCAACCCAATCACAAAACCACATAGACCAAATCATAAAATCTACTTTGATTGGTTACTGGAAAAACCAATCTATAAAGGATGAAAATGACCCTCGTTTAATAGACTTTTACATGTTACAACGCCTGTTAGAGAGGGACTAAATCCGTACATTCTTACAAATCACGATGGTCGTCTTGTAATTTCGAGATTATCTGTCATCTTTGACAAACTATAGAGACCAAATATGTAGTTTAGGCGCCGTTTACCTAAATGCTTACCTGATAAGTGTTTACCGATAAGATTCAATATTATAATTTATTTTGATACTTAAGATTTTAGTACATCAAAACATATCGAACGCAACAAGTTTATAGGTAAATGCTTACCTGGGTAAGAGTTGTCATCCTTACTTACTGGGTAAGACTCTCTATCCTTTTTATTACTCTTACCCTGTAAGATTCTTGGACATTCTCATGTTCATCAGATAAGGAAATTTATCTGGTAAACACTTATCAAGTAAGTGTTTAGTAAACGACCCCTTACTCTATATTTAATAATGTAAGCTACCTTTTTCGCTCCTGTGGTTTGTTAAAAATTGCAACATTCGTCCCTTTGTTTTTTAAATACCGTGACTTGCAATTCATTGTTGTTTTTAGCCTTAAAACTAACTTTATAAACGGTTTCCCGTTAATTATGAGAAATGAAAAAAATATTGAATTATAAGCCACACGGACAAAAAAGTAAACCGCTAGGAAGAGAAAAAAATAACGAATTGTAAACTATAAGGACGAAAACCGTAATTTCATAAACATAGAGTGAAAATAGCAATTTTTATTAAATCATAGGGACTAAAAACGAAGGTTAGTGATTTTAATATGACAAATTAGAAAGCGGTGAGATTCAAAATGATAAGACAGAGCATTAAGAAACAGAGTCGGGGTTGGTCCATGCGAGGCAGCAAATTCTTCGGTTAAGGTCCCACTTTCCCATCACTTGATAATACGCTCCCAATTAATCAAATAAAAATTATACAAAATATAGAGTTGGGTTCACGTGAAACCAATATGTTTTTATGAGACTCGTGTGACCATTTTTTTATACTTAAAATTTCACAGTAAAACACTGTGAAAGTAATAAAAAGTCGAACATTCACAGGAAAATCATTGTATAGGTTATCTTCACAGCATTTTGCGGTGAAGTTTCAAGCGTAAAAAGTGGTCTCACGGGTCTTATTCCAAGTCCAATATATATATATATATATATATATATATATTACAACATTCTAATATAATTTTAATTCTACAATTAATTCAATAATTTAAAAAAATTAGAAAAAATTGATATCATAAACGTTATCTTTAAGTATATAATATTTATATAAAAACAAATGCAATAAAAAGAATCCACACACCCTCACGACTCCTCACCTTTTGACAAGGTTACATCCTAACCTTGTGAGAGGCTTAGGAGCCGTTTACCTAAACACTTACTCAGTAAACACTTACCGGTAAAATTCAACACTATCGTTTAATTACCGGATAAGATTTTATTCACTAAAACGCATCGTATTCAACAATTTATCCCGGTAAGCGTTAACCATGGTAAGAGTCTTCGTCCTCACTTACAAGGTAAAACTCTGGATTCTTGCATTCGCTCTTACCGGGTAAGATTTTTATTCATTGCCATATTCATCTGGTAAAGTAAAGTGAATTGGTAAACGTTTACCCGAGTAAGCGTTTGGTAAACGAGATCTTAGATAACGCTAGGCCCAAAACCCTTCAATAACATCAGAATCAGATAAACTTTATGACAACTGAACCAAAAATGATCTACAGTCTATGCGTTCAGGGCTGAGTAAGTTCTCATCATGCACCGGCTCATTTGATTTCGCAAGTAAATTCTTTTTTTGGTATGAAATGTGCACCAACCAAATTTTGAATGGTGCTCAAAACCGCAAAAGTCCATCAAAATAAACTAAAAAACCGAATATTTTTTTCCCCTGAAAATCAACCACATAAACCGAAAGTCCCTAGAAATAAACCAAAAGTCCCTAGAAATAAACCAAAAGTCCTAAAGAATCCCTTGAAACGATGGAATTTGGTTAAAAGCACATCAGACGGCTTTACATGCCTATGATCCACCTTAAGACACACCCAGTCTGCAAAAGTCCTGGGTCCACAACTAATAGAAATCATCCAATTTTTTATTAACATGATTATGAAAACATAATAATACAAGTATATTAAATGGTGCCACTCAAGATATCAGTTATCTGCATTTATTTAGTATAGTTTACTAGTGCCAATCTTTGTAGAAACTGGCTTGTAATCATGGAGTCGGCCCACATAACCACCTTCGTAGGTGCATGTGTCTTTGATTGTGTTTGTTATCTCATTTCAATACCGTGTAGTGTGTACATCGAGGTTTAAAATTATGAAACCTTATGACAATTATGGACCACATAAATAAGTAATACAACAGTCTGTGTTCCATGCAAATGCTTGGTGTTTTTTTTAGTATACAGGATGTAATCAGATTGTAACTTGTCATGACCATTAAAATGCAAATTGCATGAAATAGGTTCAATATGGACAAGTTTCTTTTACGGTGTGTTTGGTACACTGGACAAGACAAAACATACGAAAAAATGAATCACTGTCTCATGTTTGGCAAGATTTTATGTGAAATAAAATGAAACAGACGTGTTCCATCCCATCTCATAAAAAGAAAATGAAATAAACCTGTATTTTACCTATATATTTCAACATAAAATCTAATTCTCTTCAAAAATATCAAATACAACCCCCTCTTTATGCTATATTTATTCTTTAAATTTTATTTATTCTATTTTATGCTCTTTAAATTTTCTCTCAAAATTTCGGTTAATTATGTAATTTATCAAATATCAATAAAAGCAAAATAATACAGAAAGGATATAGAACAAAAATTGAAAGCTACATAGACTTTTTATTTTAGTGTCAATTTTAACCGGGCAAAAACTTTCTAGTGAGATGTTTGATTATAAAAATACTTATGTTATTATAATTTAATAAATTATATATATATATATATATATATATACTAACCAAAAAATATAAAAGATATAATAACTCATTAGCAGTAAAATTAGTCATTTTATTTATTATGCCATGTCCAATTCTATTTTACCAAAAGTTAAACAATTGTTGTTATCTCATGTCCTATTTTGTCTAGATATTTAGATACACAGGACAAAACGGGACTGTACAAATACAAAAATTGTTGTCTCACGTTTGACGCAACATTACATTGAAACAGAACAAGACCCACGTGAGACAAAATGCATTTTTTATATCCCACCAGTATGGGTGGAATAAAAATCAAGAAGATGAGACAAGATTGGTAAATTACTAAACTACCCATGTCAAATAAAAACTCTAAAACCTTCCACAGTTCTTTAGCTGCCTACCTCACTTTTACCATTTTACCCATCTAGTCTCGTCCACATACCAACACACCTTAAACGAAATCATGCACCATTTTGGTTTCTAGAGATGAGCTCTTCGTTTTAAAGCAGAGAAAGTTGTATATCTCACCACAGTAATCGATCAATTATATGACCAGTAACGTACCTAATGCCATATTAGATCTGCACACAGATAGACCAACAGTTTTTGTTGGATACCGATGTGTATGTATTGTATCAAACATATCCTGTAAGACCTGCACCAAGATGATGCTCAAGAAAACAATTACTGCATAAATAAGAAGAGATAGTAAAGCCAAAATCCAAGTTAGAGATTAAGTGATAAATACAAACAGGGTCTAACAAAGATTTCGTGCAAAAAATACCGGAAACTTCTTTAGGGATTTTCCAAAAACCCCGATGCAGATTGTGAAATTTATTTACAAAAATCACCTTTTTGGTAGGTCAAATGATGGAGTTCAATCGTGTGATGCGAGTTTCAGATGTTACCAGACACAATGGGATGGGATGGGATCGATCCCGACGTGATGTGATGTCTGCCTAATTCTTTACGGTATCTGTATATTGCTTGTTTAGAGCTATCTACCTTCAGAGATTTTAGTAATCAAGATATCATGTGGTGAAGTAGAGCAATCACTAGAAATGATATCAGATATCTACGAGGAATACGACTGTCAGCAGATGATATAGAATGTGGACCTACTAGATGCACTGATCCAGTAATTTCATCCCTCAGTTTGATGCTTGAAGAACCTGAAATCATTAAAAAGAAGTTGATAACTGGGGTCAGTTTGCAGTTTGTTAGCAAGTAAAACGAATCTTTTTCATCAACCGATCCAAAACATTAGTAAATTTACATCATTTTTCGTGGACCAGATGAGACCTGATGGCAATTGTCGAAGGAGGTAATGCATAAGAAATTTTATAACTGCACATGATTTCGGTAGTGCTCTTTTCCGGAAAATGAAGTCAGTAATGGGTATTTGAGTAAAAGAACTATGTGGTTTCCTGTTATAAACGCAGAGTAATCTACACGGAGTAAGCAATGATAGCATGCAAACAGTTCATTCGGTGTTGCACACTGGCTCAAGGGTTATTTAACTAAATGACCTCCAGACATGCTTTTTAAGACCTTCTGACATGTTTTTTTTGGCATTCTTATGTTAAGAAGTGACATTCTCACACCTGTCAAAAAGTGATGGATTTAAAAGAAAAACTGACAGAAGGTCATTTAACACAGCAAATCTTACACAAAAGTGAAGTGTTGGTATCCACTATCCAGCTTAGCGGCTGTTTGTTAAACTCTTACCAGATAAGTGCTTCTCGGGTGTCACTTACCTAATCGGGTAAGCATGACAAGGACCGGGAATCTTACCCGGTAAGAGGCATAATGAAGACCCAGAATCTTACCCGGGTAAGTGATGGAGAAGACACTTGCCAACAATCCATTTTGATGGCCGATAATGCTACCCTATAAGGTAAGTGAAGGTGGTGACTCTTGCCGGTAAGCGCTTACCTAATATGAGTTTGGTAAATGTCCCCTATTATCCATCAAGACCAAGAGGTCCAAAAGGGTCAACAGAATCCTAAACTAGTAGAGATCGTAGTTTGGCATGAATGAGATCATGTAAGATTGACCCTTTTGCTTCAATAAATTCTAAATCAACTTGGGTTCATAGAGATCTGAAAACTGGTAAAGACTAAAAACCGAGGGGGAAGGAGCAACAAGAAACAAAAAACGAACATAGAGATAGCTAAAAACTGAAATCACAACTCACAATTATACTCGGTCCATCCAATCGTCTGGTTCTCAAGATCATATAAGACCAACTTATTTGATAGTACCAAATCTGCAAACATCAGAAGAAAGTGGCACGGAGAAATGAGTTAAGTGTTAAAAATACATGAGATTTGATCAAAGTAGTAGCATTTGATCCGACGGTTGGATATAACTGCTCAGTTATTGTGGTCATGAAACAAATATACAACTACAACAAGATATATCTTACTATCAAGAATTAATGTAAATTGACTGTTACCACTAAACAACTTGGTAATGATGGTGCAGTGGTGATAATGGCATAATGGTGAAATACGACAACTCCCAAAGAGAATTAGGGGACGTTCACCCAAACGCTTACCCGGTAAGCGCTTACCAATAAAGTCAACACTCCAGCAGATTATAGTCCATCAAAACGGTGTTGTATGCAACAATTTACCTAGTAAGCGCTTACCCATAATTGTCAACACTCCAGCTTACTTTATCGGGTAAGATTATAGTCCATCGAAACGGTGTCGTATGCAACTTACCGGGTAAGAGTCGTCACCCTCACTTACTGGGTAAGATTCTCCATCCTTATCATCACTTTTACCGGGTAAGATTCTTGGCCCTTGTCATGTTCATCAGGTAAGGTAAATGACCCGATAAGCGCTTACTGGTTAAGCATTTATTAAATGGCCCCTTAGTGAGGGAAAGCACCAAGCCAATACCTCACATCTGTTTGATTTATATACCATCATTTGTGGGCTGTGGCAATGTCTCATGCGGTGGTGTTCCACAGGTAAGGATGCAAATGAATGAACAGTGACAAGGAGTCAGGTTTACAGAAGTTTACGGTTTGTCAATGATAGAAATCACCAAATATGGATTACATTTGAAGCAATATTCATTTAGTTACCAGATTATTTGAAAATGTTGTTAAAGGGCCTACATGTATGTTGAAAGCCAAAATGATTTCGTAAATCACACAGTTATCTGTTTTAATACTCCATCCGCCCTAAACAAATGTAGCCAACAAAACAACATATTTACTTTTATGTTCAAGTTCAGATTTAATATAAATTTATTTGATATATGTTTTTTTATAATTACATCAAGCACAAGTAGTGCAATCAGTGCTGAAAATTTAGGGGGCGTTTGGTTTGATGGAATAGTTTTGAGGGATTTGGATTTCGTGGAAGGATTTAGAATTGGAGGGATTTGGATTTGGAAGGATTTGGAATATTTGGTGTGTAAATTCCATTCTTTATAAATAATTTATAAAAACAAATTATAAATAATTATAGAAATAATTAAAAATTACCTTTTATTAATTGGTTATTACAAAACAAATGTTTTTTAGCATGGTTTAAAACGTTATTACATACGAATCCCATGATATCCCTTGAAATACCAACCACCTCCGTGAGATTACAAAATCATATGTTTGTCGGATTTTAATGAAAGAAAATCCTTCAAACCAAACATGGGATTGGAACGGAATTCAATTCCAAATCTAATCCAATCCTGCAAACCATACGGGACAAGAAGATTTCATATGGATCTTGAACATGGAAATTACCAGGATTAACATTCAAAAAGTTAAAAGGAAGACACTTCATGTGGAACCAAGGAAAATGAGAAAAGTGAGAAAGGTCTTCATAGTGTCCACTCTTAGTTTCATATTAATCCTTCCATCGGAAGAAACTGAAGTTTAGTACCTCAAAATGTAATTCTATAAGTATAATGATAAAGAGCTTACCTCCCAATAAAATTGTGTCCGTTGAACTTATGGAGTCCATGCCAATGTTTTGCCAGCCAAAACACAAGAAATCTTCCTGCAACATTTGAATGCAGTATTGAAGTTACCAATTCAGTAACAAGTTATATTAGCATGTAATAAATACATTTTTATCTAGTTATACTAGATGCTTAGCAAATTATCTGTTAAAACACCACAACTCAGGCCTATGCAAGGACATACATTTTTGTATGGTATACTGTTTGGGTGTTATGTTACTTCAGCTGCATCGATGTTTCCAGTAAGAAAAGTCGATGGGAGAATGAAATGCTAATTTCAAGCATTTAGCTGTATTTCATTTTTGTCACTAATTAACACAGTAAGGGGCCGTTTACCCAACGTTTATCTGGTAAGCGCTTACAGGTAATAGTCAACACTTTCACTTAACTTACCAGGTAACATTTTAGTTCATCAAAACGGCATTGTATGCAACATTTTTATTCGGTAAGCGCTTATTGGGTAAGAGTTGTCACTCTCACTTACCGCGTAAGACTCTCAGTCCTTGTCATCGCTCTTACAGGGTAAGATTCTCAATCCTTATCATGTTTATCCGGTAAGGTAAAATGAGCCAATAAGCACTTACTGGGCAAGTGTTTAATAAATGACCCCACAAGTTCCAACAAAAAGACACAGGGTGGCATAGTGGACAAGGCAAACTTTTGTAACTCTAGCAATAGCAAGTTGTATAATCTGGACAACATTTACCAAGTCGATAAAGAAGGTCCATAAACCAATCTAGCATATTTTTAGGACTTAATGGAATTCTACTTGTCAGTTGACTTTCATGTAATGGTTTATGTCCTCTTCTCCTTTTAACTTTGAGGCAAGGCTTTCCTTCATGCTCTAACCAACTCTGATTATGGTTTCAATAGCCAAAAGATGGTTATCGATTCAAGGACGTAAGGTGACCCCGCTTTTTCAGGGTAAGAAGGGGTAGAGAAAATGCCTCCCGCCTGGGGAGTACGTTCGCAAGAATGAAACTCGAAGGAATTGACGGAGGCCCGCACAAGCGGTGTACCAACCTTACTAAACCACAAATTTACAAAAAAAAAAAAAATTAAACACATCAAACGAAGATGGGTGCTTTCATAGTAGCCATGGCACCAATCCCAGAAGTTAAATTGTGTGAAATATTAGGAGAGACAAATCACACGGACAGAGAAGCTGGTTGTTGGGGCAATAACTCAAAGTGGTACCAAGTCAGTCCCTAACTGTTTATTTCCATTATATACATAGTAAGGCTCACTTGTTTGCTGAACGGGGGTTAATTTTTAATCAAAAAAATTGTTGGAATGGTAGAACTTTTTTTCCTGACCCAGAATGTCAGCAAATAAGCTCTATTATTAGGTGCTGTGGGCTTACTTGTTCAAGAAGAAACAAATCCTTTGAAACAAACAAATAAAGCATTTAGCTCGCCATCAAGAGCAATATTCCCTCTTCCATTTTTTTGATACGACTGCAGCTTTTATAAAACTGATGCAGCAGTGGGAGCTGCAGTCAATTGATCAGCTGATATCTTGAGCCATGTTACTTCATTCTAGGCACCCTCTGTGTTTTTAAAGAACGATGTTGTACATGTATACTTTAAGAATGTGTTTTTTTTATAAAGGAAAGAATGTGTTTAAAGTATGCATCACAAGCAACAGATGCATAGAGTACTTATTCTAATATACTTGTTAGTTACCCAAATGATGCAAAATAGGGAGAAATATAACATAATACAGTCTATTGCACATCATAGTACACACAAACACGTGTAAAACAGGCAGTGGAGTTATAATAATCCATAAAAAAAGAAAAGGTAGTGAGTTAAAAGTATATTGTGAAGGGTGGGTGTGTCAAGATTGAAAATCAAATTAAGGAAAAAGGGAAAGAGAAGTAGAGTCCCGACCCGGACCCCCACCCTTAGGTACCCTGATGGCGAGTCTAAGGGAGTGCCTTGACTGCTTGTAGAGTGACAAAAACATAGCCCGTTTGAACCTGCATGCAAGTAATAATAGATGGGACAAAGCTCATGAAGCACAGACAAAACCCAAAAAGAAAGGAACGATGAGGGTGGTATAAATTTGGTGGGAAAAAATGCCCTGCCCCACACGAGGCAAGTCATGGTCTGGTGCTGACACCCAGGGAGTCCCCATATGCACTGATAAGACCAGATGAAGAGCATTCACCAAGGTTGGCTCTGGTATCCTCTAGAAAGCCGTGAGGAGCTCTAGTGTTTTTCGAGATGCTTAGGACTCTTGTACTTAGAACATTCTAGAATCATTCTGAGGGGGAAGAAAGTTCCCTAGAGGAGGTGGAATCTCCTGTAAAATGTGAAGAACTCTCCTTTGTAAGGCATCCCCCAACATATCCTATCCCATCCATCAAGGGAATCAAATGGGAGACACTAAACTGGTCCCTGTAAGTTTCTCACTCTCTTGCAACATGGACCGACAAGGGCAAATTGTCTGTGACGCTAGGCAGCTTCTTGCTCATATGGTTGTTCCCCTTGGGCACCAGCTTTAGTTGCATCATCTAGCAACTTCCCCTGTGACCTGGAAAACCTAGCATCATCTACACATGGTCTTGACAACAATACTCCTACCTTCTGCAGATGGTTACTGAGATTCTCTTGTGTGACAATTGAACATATACAACTACATGTTTAAATAAGAACATTGAAGGTGAACAGTTTTTTATGTAGAATCCTTGATGAGGTCATGAGGCCATCTCAATCTTCCTCAACTCATCCATGGATTATGATCTCTATGTTACATCAATGTACTTCTATCTTAAATCATAAGTAGGAAACTCGATTACAGTTTTTATGGAGTTCACCAACCTCTTTACCACCTTCTTGTGCCTTTACCTCCTATTCTCTATATTATCCATTTCGAAGAAAACTGTCATTGTGCCCCCAACGAAGCTACCTTCTATTAACCACAATCAACATTTTCAGGTATACTTGCTAAAAGCATGTTGTGGTCAATATTAGAATCTAACAGCCTGAAATTCTAAAGGAGTGAATGCATGCCTTTACAAACATAAGAGTCCAACAGTGAAGCAAAAAACATAGTGCCAAGCGGGGTATTGAGCTTTAGTAGTAGATAGCATGGATAACCAAAGATTAAGAAGTTTGCATGACAGGAGATACTTACAAAGACGAATAAATAATCATGCGGGTAAACCTTCAAGGAAAGTGAATTTTCAAAATAGAACGTAACCATAGGAAATCCATCGTCAACACTGCAAATGCAGAACCGAAAGTTAGCAAGTCATTCTACTCTTAGTCTTCTGGAAAAAAAAGAGCCTACATATACCACACCCAAGGGCTTATGGAAGAATGGAAACCAATAGAAAGTAGAACATCTAGAACTAGCACTCATTCATGCTTACTGATGACACGAGGAACAATACTATATTATTGCATCACCATACCAAATGAAGACCATGAGAAAACCTCAATTTACAAAGCCCAAATTTTGGTAGAAATGGAAAATATTCCTTCATAACGGAGTTTATATTAAAAAAGAGTTCCATATGATAATCAAGCACACGAAGATAATACGACTCCATATCCACTATACCTTCCGGAGAATTCAAAGCATGTATACTGGTCGTGAAGAGTACGTAATCTCAAATCAGACTGCCCTGCGACTATCTAAAGAAAAAGAGCTAAAAATAAAAATAAATAAATGATGCAACTTCTAAAGAAGCAAATTTTCCAATCAAAATGATAGTAAACTGCATCACAAATTTCACCTCTTTCACCAAGGGATTGTAGATCGCATCTGGAAGATAAGCCAATGTCGTACCACTATCTATTATTGTTCTTGTCTTGTCCCCGGAACCATTCGTATTTGTTGAAAGATTTAGGAACTGGGTACCAACTTCAATTCCCATGACATTGGCAGCGTAGTGAGGCCTATAAATTTAAAGATGACCAATTTTAATCCAACAGCTATAACTCAGTTTGATAAACTTAAATTTGATCAGAAGTATAAGCTTCAATTCTCGGTAAGCAACTGCACTAAAGAACCTAAGGCACTAAAAGGAAGAGAAGAAAAGAAAATTTTAAAACAACCTTCATGTAAAGTTATGATATTCACACATCCCCGTTTAACTTTGGATGTTATCATGTAGATGATAATTATGCATGCACATGTAACTACAAAAGAGCATAGATCCATGTGTGCATGTATGTGCGAAAGTGGAGCCAAGGATATAAGGATGATGCATGGTGCTCTCTTTTGGTCCACTTTCTATATCAAGAAAATGTTCAAGAGAGAACAGAAGAGCAGAGAAGACTTAATAACTGACAGTTAGCTACCTAGCCACATGATGTTTCACATGGAGGAGCACAGGATAAAAGTGACCTTACTGCTTTTCAATGCTAATGTTTTCATAAAGAACAGAACTAGAAATAACTTTTAAGCAACACAAATCCACCTGGATATTAGTTGGAAAGACTCCCTGAACTGTTTTTAAGAAAATATAGTCAAATTCTGCAGAAAGAGGAGAATTGCACATACTGATCTGGGATCAAAGGTGTTGAATTAACTTTTGGCTGAACAACATGCCCGATTGCAAAAATGCCACCACCATTCTCACCATCTAGACAATGCGCAAACATCTTTTTCACCTTCCCAGATGAAGCCAACTGTGAAATGATTGATGAATTTGCTTTTCCAAAACCAAGAATCCCATCGAGTGCATCCTCAGAAGAACCAAGGTTCCCAGATTGTCTAGCACCGCATCTGATAGAAAAATAAGAGTACAGAAGCACTACGTATATAAGTAAAGGAACAAACAAATACAAGCACTGAATATCAAAATTCTGCCTTCCATCTATGATATAAGAATCCACCAAAAAGAATGGGTTATAAAAGAAGATAGAAAAAAAAAAAAAAAAAGAACACCACGACCTAGACCCCTCAAACAAGAATATGATAACTCAATATGTGAAATATTACATATAACCATTCAGTTCCAGTATCATGGTAACAAGAAAAAACAACACATGCTTGCAACTAAAACCTTTTAAATATGAGCAAGGAGCAAAAGAAGAAAACCTTTGGTATCCAAGAACAATCTCGGTAACTCTGTCTTAAATTAAATAAGCCTTTCACTTTGTAATTTATACAAGGAAAAGCTTGCTTATTTTGGGATAAAAGAACTATTCTTCCAGAGAATAAGTACCATTCCAGTAAAAAAAACTCCCTCTAGCCAAGACACTTGATAAAATCACATATACAATCCCCTGTCAAGCAGATTATGTAACAGATGCATGCATTGATACTCCTCATGCCACTTGTATACAATAGGACAAACCAATACACTACTAAGTCCCTTAGAAGCTGGTTTTCAGAAGAAATATATAATATGTAGATTAATGCGCGCCACCTTTAACTGTCCGAACTTGGTCAATGAACATTTGCTCCCAAAGAGCATGCAAAACCACCAAGTTACCACAAAATTAAAGTTGTGCCTTGCATTCCATATAAAAGATGGTAAAGGGAAAGAAAGGCACACAGGAACAAACCAAGATATATATGCATGAAATTGGTAAAGTTTAAAATAAGTCATCCTCGGAACAGAATATCAAACATACCGCGGGTCTAGGACGCCATTGGGCAGCTGCCGAACACCTTTCATTCCTATGCATGAGATCATCTATTTGCTATTTGTCATCAATTTGTGCTCGAACAATAGGTTTTCACTTGATAGGTAAGGTGGCGATTGTTTAAAACCAACTAGAGGTATAGGTGTACGAGGCCTTCAATTGTGCAAAACTAATATAGTGTTTGGTATGGTAGAATGAGAGGAAAACATGGAATGCAAAAAAATGTTTGTTTTGTCATATGGAACGGAATGGACCATTACATAAAGAATGTGATTCCTATTATTTGGTTATTTTCATTCCATGGCCAGGTGTTTTTTCCCATTCCATCATGGAATGAAATAAAATTACAGTAGAATCTATTTCTATTTATATAATGTTCAATAAAATAATATTTTTTTTACAATTAAAACTTCAATTGGATTACTTTTTTATTTTTCAAAATATCCAGAAAATATACATTTTTGTTATAATCTTATTTGATGTTTTAATGAACTTAGATTATGTTTAACTTTTCTTTGTAAACAAAAAATCTATCAACTTTATTAGATAATGCAAAAAGTAAAGATAAAACTATACATTATATCTCTACATCTAGTATGAAATCCCTATGAAAACTTATTCCATTTCTATGTTCCAACCAAACATGATAATGGTATGTAATGACCCATTCTATTACCTCACCCAATCCATTAATTTGTCATTTCATTCCATCCAACCAATAAATCTTAAGAGTTTTGTAAGACCTCGAGAAACTCAAATCCATGTAAGCTACACATAGAGGTTTAAAGCCGTGTGAATATGTCTGCAAGATCTAGGCCACTAGATATTACCTCGCTTTCCTGGCTCATTAAAAGTACTACTATTAGGTATTCTAAGCCTGCACATCCTTGTCTTTCACATAACTCTATTGCTGGCCCATCATACTAAGTTCTAATTAGAAGATACTTCATTTCTTTTCTTACTGATGGTGTTGTGACTCTTTCAACTGTTAACCAATAACTTAAGCCGTCTTTGCTAGTTTATCAATAAAGAAAATAAGAGAGAGAGAGACTAATGTAATACTTAACTAATACATCATAACATCATTAATGGAGATGAAAACATACCCAAATATAACACTTCCATTAGCCATCTTGGTTTGCAAGTCACCTGACACACTCTCATATTGGACAACATCCATTACGAAGTAACCAATACTGTAGCTCCCATCGCCATAAGTCTCGGTATACAGACAAGATGCGTTGGCCTTGCAACCAGTAACTGCACCACCGTTGATCTCTGCACAAAAGTCTTGAGAGCATGTAACCAAATTCCCCGTGAACGAATCTTCTGGGTCGTATAGTGTAAGTTCCAGCTGTTAGAATGGTAGGTCAAAAACTGTTAGCATTCATATGCATGAAGGCCAAATATGGCCATCTTCCTAATTTGTCATCTGCTTTCATACTCTAGGGAACTTATCAACAAGTTTTCCTTGAAGATGCTAATGTGTACATAAAACAACAGCAGCATTTCAAAATTTCAGAACAAACTAGCAGAAATTGAAAGAAAAAAAAAAGATACAACCCTGTTTCTGTGTAATTCTAGAGGAAAACATCATTTGGAGATAAAGAAATAATTTGAATAAATGAAAGCAACAAGAGAATACCCCGTGATAGCCTCTCTTAGGGCACTCGTGGCATTGTATACAGTTGATCCACATTATGTCACTTCCTGTGTCTACTTGAACATAATATTCCTTTGGTGGTGTTCCAATTCCAATTCTGGCATAGTAAAGCCTGTACAAATAAGGTTTACATGTCAGATAATTATTAAACCAGTAGCCATAACATCACACACGAAACCGCCTTACTACTCTTAAATAGTAAGTCACCATTATTCCACTTCCCGAGCACAACTTGTTTGTACTTCCTTGATCTCCATGGGTAAAAGTGCCACATAACAGCCTCCAGTTCTCGTGTTAGATTCAATTAAACCAGGCCGATAAAAGTACCATGCCATTGTGGTTTTGGATGCAGAAAGCACCATGTCAAGTTTAAAGCAGGAGTGCTCTCAACATTTATTTAACTCAATTTTTATGCCAATGATCATAAAATCAGTATAGAAACTCGATCTCAGCCCTACTCAAGCCCTAGTTCTCATTAAACGTCAAATCAAGTTAAAAAAAAATCAAAATCTCCAATCCCACCCGAAGTAACTATGAATGAATAAATCGAGATCATACAATTAAGGTAGAAATACAAGGAATAACGAGAGGTACGTCTCAGAGTGTGTTTTTACCCGACGGCATCAGGACGACCGGTTCCACCGAGAGGTAGGTCGACACCGGATGCTAGAATCTGAAGGTGACGGAGGTTATCATGAGCTTTGAAAAGACTAAGTGACCGTTCCTTGCCGGAGAATTTAGAATTTACACCGAATACAGCACCGCGGAAATCGCCATCGTCACTTGCAGCCACGGAAACAGAGATCAAAACCACAAATATCAACGAGATAAAGCTGGTTACCATGATGATGATAATGATGATGATCGTATTGAAGTATATCGTCGATGCGCTACTCTACGCCGGCGACGGAGCAGTAGAATTGAAGTCGTGGAATATGTATGAAGACGACGACGATGACTGACCATGAGACGGCATCTTAAAGTTTCAGGGAATTTGTCATAAAACCCCCTTAAAACTTTCTCGTGTATTCGTACATCTACTTTTAAACCCAAAACATATTTAACTGAAAATCAAATTAGTTTGCTAGAATTTTTGAGTTTTTGGGACGATGAGATTTTGAAACGATTTCGATTTTAATTAAAAAAATATACATTTTATAAATAGATTTATACTATATTATAAATCATTTGATAAAAATTCTTAAAAACCATTTTTTATACACGAAGTATTGTATATTGATGCATATTATTTAAAGTTCAATATTTTTTTTGGAAGTATATAATATTTATATACGGCAAATGCAACAAATAAACTCACACGCCCTCCTCACCTATGGTGCTGTTTGAACCCCTGACCTCCTAGAAAGTCAAGGGCTACGATACCGCTAGGCAAAAGACCCTTTGGTACTTAAAATTCAATATTACAAGTAAATTATGCATAAGTACAACTTATTAAAGCTTTATGTTTGAATTCGTGTAACTAACTGCGGATAAACATAATCAAATAGATGATAAACATCTCTTTTTAAAATATAAAAAATCTAGAATATAATTAGGATAATTATCGAGTTCTAACAAAAAAAAAATTAATTATTATTTTTAAAAAAAAAATTATATTATTAAACTAAATATAAATTACTTCGTTATTGAACCTAAATTAAATTATTAAAAAAATTAAATTAAAAAATTACATAAAAATAGGAATTTTAAATGATTAATTTGATACTAATATTGATATATTTTTGTCAATTTTTCATGATATCTTCAAACATATATTTTATTCAAAAATAAAAACATCAATACTTTTTCAAAATCACATAAAATCATATTATAACATCGACTGAGATAAAGAATAAAATAAAATATTAAAATCAAAATGTATCTCGTTGCCTTGCACGAGTACCCTTCCAGTAATCAATGATCAATTCGAATAAAAAAACTAAATATCATCATAAAAAAGAAGGTTCATGTGAATTATCAAAAATTCAAATTCAAATCATTTTAATTTATTGTATATATGTATATATATACACACACACGTGAGACCAATATATCTTCCTGAGACCTGTGAGAACACTTTCTTACACTTGAAACTTTACAGCAAAATATTGTGAAGATAACTTTAACAGTGTTTTCTGCTGTGAATGTTCGACTTTTTTTACCTTAACAACGACATGTCACAACCGAAAACGGATCAACAGTCTATCATTTATAGTACGGAGCTCTAATGAAACTCCCAAAGAAAATAACAATTTCATACATATATTTACAATATTTACTATCTAACTATTGATCTTAAGCTTATTTGCAATATAATTCTACTTTGACCATTTCTTTACGATTATATATATATATATATATATATATATATATGAGCGATCAAATGAAAACTACCCTCATTTGTACAAACCGTACAAACCACCTTCATACGTCGATTTCATTGTTTAATCTTATGAAATTTTTTCATAAAATTGTTTAATCTTGTCAAATTGTTTCATATAATATATTTTTTTTGATGAATTTGTTTCATATATGGTTATGAAATTGTTTCATATAATACTTTTTTTGATGAATTTGTTTCATATATGGTTATGAAATTGTTTCATATAATATTTAATGAAATTTTAATGAAACTGTTTTATGAATTTTTTCTAAAATTAAAATAATGAAGATGATAATATCCATGATTAACACCCTCCACAATAAAAATGGTTAATCAACCTCTTACAATTACAAAAAAAATGTACAAAATGAAAAATTATGATTGGTTGAATATGGTTTTCACGGTTTCTACAAATTGAGTGGTTTTTATTTAAACGTTCCTTTAAGAGAAACGATCAAATGAAAACCTCCCTCATTTGTACAAACCTATATATATTACTTCTTACAATTTTAATATTTAAAATCTATTTATTCAAACAATATCTTTTTTACTTAACGGTGGTTTACTGAACTTTTATTACTGAGTCATTTTAACTCATTAGATGAATATAGTAAAAAATTGAGAATCTTATTTGTTAAAAGCGACATAATGAGTAAGAGTCTTATTCAGTAAGTGAGATCAACAACTTTTATCTGGTAAACGTTTACGGATAAATTGTTGCTTATAATGTCGTTTTAATGGATTAAATTTTTTCTCGATAAGTTAAGTGAAAGTACTTACCCTTACCTGTAAGTGCTTATCAGATAAACGTTAGGTAAACGACCCCTAAACACTTATCCAGTGGCCGTTTACGTAAACGCTTATCTGACAAACACATACTGGTAGTATTCAACACTATCACTTACCTTACCATGTTAGATTTTAGTCCATCAAAAACGACATTATATACAACAATTTACCCGATAAGCATTAAATTGACCCTTATTCAAGTCATAAAGTATGCACATATTTTTCTTCATTATTTTGTATATAATATCATTGGTTTTGTTATAAATAAAATATTATCGAACGTATTAAAATCAAACATATGCACAATATTTATCAAAATGCTATATTGTTTATTGATTTATACCGAATATTTATAAAACTCAGTACAACTCATCTTTTGAGTTTAGCTCGCCAGATCAAATCGACGAATACAGGACAAAAACATACAACTAGTAGATCCGATTACGAACTGTAGTGATGGAGCCTTTTAAAATTTCCCACAAGCAACTTCAAGGAAGAGATCGTGCCCGACACCCCAAGAACGGAGCCGAGTGCGATGAGGATCATGTTAAGGACCAAAATGGGCTTCGATATTTGGTTCCAGAAGATCTTGATGTAGAAAACGGCTGGAAAAATAATGATGATCGCCACACCAACGAGTGAGCCCGTAAGGCCAAGGACGTACTCAAAGTATGGCACTGAGAGGGCCAACACGAGTATGATTAGCAACAAAATCGAGCCGATGGTGCCCCTTATGATCATCTTGGTTTGAGACTTCATAGAGTAAAGAAACCGATGTTCAAGTTGTATCGCAAAGGGTGCAAATTCGAGGGCGTATTTGGTCATTGGTGTCAAAACCGTGGCCCATAGCGCGATTTTGGTGAACACTAGGCCCCGGGGCATGCTAAGGGTAATTTGGGAATTTACTCCTGGTCCAAATAGTTTAGCCCCCATGAATCCTAAGGATGTATACAGCAAAGTCACAAATGTGAAGCTCACGATGGATACCTGAGATGGGGACAAAATTGTAAACACGATGTTAAATTTTTGTGTTAAAATACTATTGTGCCCTTGTGTTAAAAAGGCTACTTTACATACGTGTTCAAAAAAACTATTTTGCCTTTGCAAGTGGGATTGTTACCAACCTTGGGCAAACTTGGAGGGATCTTTTATGCGTGAAAAGACTATTTTGCCCTTGTATGCGTTCAAAGACTATTTTGCCCTTGCATATGTTAAAAGACTATTTTGCCCTTGTATGCGTTCAAAGATTATTTTGCCCTTGCATGTGTTAAAAAACTATTTTGCCTTTGTAAGTGGGATTGTCACCAACCTTGGCAAACTTGGAGCCTGGGAGGGGTCTTTAGTGTGTAAAAAGACTATTTTGCCCTTTATGTGTTCATTTGCTTGCATGTGTTAAAAGACTATGTTGCCCTTGGGTTAAAAAGGCTACTTTGCCCTTGTATGTGCTAAAAAACTATTTTTCCTTTGTAAGTGGGATTGATACCAACCTTAGACAAACTTGGAGGGATCTTTTATGTGTTAATAGACTATTTTGCCCTTGTATATGGGATTTGAATATACCAACCTTGGTGAACTTGGAGGGGTCTTTCATGGCCCTGTGTATGTCAGGGAAGACAATATGGCCGGCGAAGCTGAACATATACAGGCCGGAGATGTGAGGTATGTTATGTAGCCGGAGAGTCGGGATCGTGTGATTGGCGGCAACGCCACCAAATATGGCGGTGCAAGCCACCGTCACGAAAATCATTAGCGACATGATGATGCCGCCAGTCGACAGGAACGAAATAGACGAGAGATCCCTCAACCAGAGGCTAGGCAACGCAACCAAAACCGCAAACACCGTCAGGACTTGAGACGTCGACAGATGACGAGCCCACGAGAACCGGATGTGGGTTCCTAGGAAGACGATGTTCAAGTTATCGTGCAACGAGATGGTGTACGAAACAAGAGCCATGAAGATTTCCAGGTAGATGAATGCGGTTGCGATGGCTTGTCCACGGCTCCCGAAAGCATGGTGGCCGATATCGGTGTAGTTTCTCGCTTTTGGGTTGTTACTGAGGCATTTTCCGAGGAGGTGGGAGGTATATGCACATGTGAATCCAAGGGCTACTAGCAGAAATGCAGAAACCCACCCTCCATTTTCTAGTGCATATGGTGTTGATAGCTGGCCAAGACCTGTTAGAGATATCAATCATGACAGTTTGGTTATCAACGTTAGGGTTTAAGGTTTAGGGTTTAGATACCTGACTATAACAAAACCAATTTTTATATAATTTTAAATATATCTAAATGTTTTAATAGACGATTTTATAAGACCAAACAATTATACATCATATATAAAGATGTTATAATATGATGTTAAAATGTATTTGGATATTTTAGCAAGTTTTATATGACATTTTTGAAATAAAATGTCTTATTAGCTTTTTCATACGATACTTATTGAGAAGTATCGTATAAACACAATGTTTTAGAACATTTGTTTTTATAAGACATTTTTTTAAATGTCATAAAAAAAAAGACTAGTATAACGTTTTATTTTAAAACTGTACTAAAAAACTTGTTAAGACGTCAAAAAACGTGATATAACTTATTGTAACACATTTATACAAAGCAGTCTATTAGGACATTTAAAAATGTTTGACTTCCTACTCTTATGAAGGAAAAAAGATAGAAAAATAAAAGGATACCTATGAGCATTCCGATCATATTCATGACAGATTGAAGAAACGAACTGTTGCCTGTAACGACACGTGCCTCAGTTTCCGCTATCTCGTTCTTAACTATCTGCAACTTTTCGTTGCTAGTACCGCATTTGCACGGCTTGTTACCATCTTCTAAACAAGCTTCACAACTATCAACCCATTTCACCACAAAGTTTGCTCCATGAGTCAACTCAGTTGGCACGTGTTCGTTAGAACGATCGGAGCTCTTAGAGTTCCAAAATGTCGTCCATATGTTTGTGTTCATTTTATGGGTATGATCGAAAATCTCCAAGAAGTTTGGAGACAAAAAGAACACTAAGATTCTATTTGTTTTGAGGTTTGTTTGAGTATACATGAGACAATGATACATTGAAGGTTATTTATAAGGTGCAAAAAGTGTGAAACACACATGAGAATCCCACTCATAATTAATCCTTAATCAAGTTTAAATCAATATGTTAAATAAGACACAAGTAGCAAATATAAAACTAATTATATAAGAAAGAAATAACTGAAAAATCATTCAAGCCGTTAGATTGAGATGATCCAACAGATGTGATTAAAAAATATTATATATAACCACCTTTCTTACAAATACAAATATCCTCTCTCTCTCTCTCTCTCTCTCTCTCTCTCACACACACACAGTGTCGGTTTCAAACGAGAACATTGACCAAATAAAAGAAAATGAGAACGATCAAATCATATATGATCATTTTACACTAAACTCGCTCGTAAAATCACATGTTATTATGTGCAACTTAGGTCACGAATCAAGTTGCCCATGCACATGCATCCATGTGTTGGCCCTGTTCCATAATCACATGTGATTCTAATGTAATATCACATGTGATTCGCATGTTGTCGTGTTCTTATTTTGATCATATATATGTGTATATATATATATATATATATATATAGGGGTGGGTTCAAATAAAAACCACTCAATTTGTAAAAACCGTGAAAACCTCGTTCAACCAATCATAATTTTTCATTTTGTTCATTTTTTTGTAATTATGAGATGTTGATTAACCATTTTTATTGTGGAGAATGTTAATCATGGATATTATCATCTTCATTATTTTAATTTTAGAGAAATACATGAAACAATTTCATTAAAATTTCATTAAGTAGTATATGAAACAATTTCATAACCACAAATGAAACAACTTCATCAAAAAAAGTATTATATGAAACAATTTCACAAGATTAACAATTTCATGAAAATTTTTTCATAAGATTAACGATGGATGAGAGTAGTTTTTACGGTTTTTACAAATTGGAGTGGTTTTCATTTGATCGCTCCTCTATATATATATATATATATATCCTTTAAAAGTTAAAATTGTAAAAAACCAGTTTGTATGTTTTGCTTCGTAAATGAAACTTCAAATAATGTTATGTGTAGAAAAAACACAAAAATACGTTTATATATGAAACATACGTTCATACTCACAAATAAAAACGAAACAAAATAAATAATAACTTAAAAATCAAACTCATTGAATGGTTTTGATTGATTTCACATATTTAAGTTACACATATGTCGTTTTACCTATAAAATAATACATAAAACTAATTTTCATGATTTTTAAATTTTAATGAGTTTTTATTTAAGAATAAATTGCATGAAAAAATAACGTACTTTAATTTGATTCTTATTTTGGATAATGTATTCTTTAAAACTTTCATTTTGATACCTAAGATGTAAAGTTTTAAACATTTAAGTACCCGGATAACCGATTGAAGCATTAATCTGTTACCATGTTGATGTGGCGAGTGATGGGATTAAATTGTGTTGAATAACAAAATAATACCGAGTTAGATACCACATCACTTGCCACATTAACATGGTAACCGGTTAATGTTTCAATCGGTTATCCGGGTACTTAAATGTTTAAAACTTTACATCTTAAGTACCAAAGTGAAAGTTTTAAAAGTATATTATTTAAAATAAAAATCAAGTTAAAATACGTTACTTTTTTCATGTAATTTACCCATTTATTTAATTTGATATATATAATAATAAACAATTATATTAAAAATGGTTTCGAAAAATGCCCACGTGGTTGAAGGCAACACTGTGTTTGGCAAAGAGGACATGTCGTAAGATTTGGATTAATTATTGTTTGGTGATTTTAAGGTGTGAACGCACAAACCAATATTTCTATTTTTTTTAATCCCCAAGAATAAACAACTTTATACCCTCATCTATAAAATATATTACTTTCATATTAAACCAGATAATCTCATTTATTTCGTGTTCAAATTCAAATACTGTGCGAGGTTCATCTGTGATGACTCCAAACCATTTATGATCGTTTGATGATATAGTCGGTGTACATAAGTTGACCTGAAAACTCACGGTTAAAAGAATGGTAAGTTTAAAAAACTTGTCAAAAGAGAAAGTGTAACGTTGTGTAAAATATACTGTAATTAGAACTGTCATGATTTTCGGGTAGGGATAATTCTTTTTGTTTTTTGATTTAAACTATATAACTTTTTTGAATCTGGTATAATACTGGTTTGCTTCTAACTTATAACCATCATAAAAAACAGTTTGTTCCATTACATATAGATTAATGATTTAGCACGAAACCAATGATGAATATTCGTGGCCAACATGTGAAAACCGACAGATAGAATCTCAAGTCATTTGAGCAAATGAAGAAAACAAAACGAAATTAAATGAAAAGAATTCACACGCTTTCTTGAAAAAGAGGGTTCGAGATGATGTCACAGGAGGGGAGAATCAAATAAAAAGATATATACGTATGCGATTTGCATATAATATGGTCTTATTCTCGCATGATGTTAATGCATCTTTCGGGTTTTCGACTAAGAATCCCTCTTAAACTAGAGTTGTTTGAAATGAAATCGATGCTAATAGAATAATTCACGCAAGATGGCCCGATTTGTGCTCTATATCACATGTTGGATGCCTACTAAGCAGGTATCTGCTTTTAATATCGCCATATTCATAAATTTTAATGTAAAAATGTGTTATCATAACAAAGATTTATAAATTTTTCATACTGATTAATTGAAATATTTGTAACACCCCCATGGTACAAAGCAACGAACTAACCCAATAACTTTGAATCCAACTTAAAGTCATGGTGGAAGTTATTAGTAGCTCACTACTTGAGACTTATAAGAAGCTAACAGTTCTCACCCTCTATCCATGTGGGACGAGTTGTTACAAACTCCCCCACTTAAACTCCTGACGTCATCGTCAGGCCTACCCAGAATCTTCCTCTTTATCATTGGCAATATGGGATTCGCTTCGCCTAAGATGTTACAAACACCTCCTCTCGATGACTCATCATACATGACAAGGTTTTCCCCACCATCCGCATGGTACAAGGACCGGCTCTGATACCATCTGTAATACCCTCAAAGCTCAAAGTAACAAACTGACCTAATAACTTCGAATCCAACTTAAAACCATGATGGAAGTAATTGGTAACCACTACTTGAGACTTATAAGAAGCTAACAGTTCTCACCTTCTATCCATGTGGGACGAGTTGTTACAATTTTTTTTTTCACGAAACATAACTTGATCAATTTTTTTTGACATACCCGCCTCGCAATACAAGTTTGGCATTGACTTCGAGTAAGAAATTGAAACTTAATACTTCATTCGTACAAAAAATATATTTTAGACTTTCTTTTTGTTAACCGTGCGTGTTCGATCCAACTTACACGCATCTCGATTAATCCCAATAGCGAGGAAAATTCTAAGTCGCCTTGTAGAACTCGAATCGGTGACCTCTAAGAATAATCCCTAAAAGCCCAAACTTTATTGCCAGATGAGCTAACCTCAGGAGGTTTTAGCAATATAATTGATTTGTGTACTTGATTCTGATCTTAAAATTTTTGTAATTGTCGAACATAATCAGTCAATCTACTTCAGTTTGATCCAATTTTATGTTAATTGGTTTAGATTTGCATACTTAAAGATTTGTAACAATAACTATTTCGAACAACCCGGTATGTAACAAAATCACGAACGTGTTATGTTTCAAACATCATTTTTCGATAGATTCTCCAAATCTCACTTGAAAACGAGTATACAAGCTATTGCAACTTATTGCCAGACTTATGTGCCGTTTACCAAACACTTACATTGTAAGTGGTTCATCGGTGAAATTTAACACTATCATTCACTTATCATGTAAGATTTTTAGTCAACAAAAACGACATCTTATGCAACAATTTACCTGGTAAGTGCTAACCATTGTAAGAGTAGTTGATCTCACTTACCGGGAAAGACTCTCGGTCATTGTCTTGCATGTACCGGGTAAGATTCTTAGTCATTGTCATACTCATTCGATAAGGTAATGCGACTTGGTAAACATTTATCCGGATAAACGTTTGGTAAACCACCCCTTATCCAATAATCGATATATATATATATATATATATATATATATATATATATATATATATATATATAAAATCAAACCAAAAGTTTACATATCGTAAATCTGTACCACAACGAATTTATATATATTGCTTTTGAAAACAATAGATTATTTACATAGGAAACAACAAATGCAGTTAATCCAAGGTTGGAGGAGGAATAGATTCTAAAAAACACTGATTGATGATGTATTATGAATCTGATTTTCACCGTATGAACCTAAATTTAACACATGTTTTGATTTTTAGCCATATTCTCATCGATCAAAAGTCATATTTTTAAAAGTCAATATTCTTTTGCGTAATATTTTGTTCGTTATTTTCTACATACGCAAACATTATCTTCTATAGTAATTACTGGTTTGGCTTTTTAATCGACGTGTCATTTCTTTACAAATATTCCAATATAAACAGAACAAGTTCAAAGTAAAACTGCAAATATTTGTCCTTATTTTTACTATTTTAAACGTTTAGTTTCTTGAAGTTTATGTTATTTGGGGGGATGTTTAAACATTTATATGACGATTGTTTTTTCCCAAAGATGTCAAGGAAACTAAAGGGGTGTTCGGTTATAGGTATTAGACAGTAATCAATATGAATGAAAATAAAAGAATCTGTTTGGTTTTATATAATACTAGAAGAGTACTCGCGCAATGCAGCAAAACACATCTCGATCTTAATGTTCTATTTTATTATTTGTCTCTATCGATGTTATAATACGATTTTATGTGTTTTTAATAAAGCAATAATGATTTTATTTTTGAATAAATATAAATTTGAAAAAAAAAATATATCAATGTTAATATCAAATCAACTATTTAAAAGTTCTCATTTTTTTA